CTGTCATTTCACATTTTTATTCCCCGACATGAAGCAGAATCCAGTGCTGTGAGAAATTATTCCTTCTCCTAACATAGAGGCCCCAGTTTTGTTTTAATGTTTAAGATCAGCAAACATACATCTGTATCAAAGATAACCTTGATAAATTCAAGATTTGGTTGATTTCATTTATTGGGGTGGGGGTGTGTGGGTGTGTGGGTGGGGGGGTAATATTCTAACCCGCCTACATGGAAAAGCAGCCTCACCTTTGGTACAGTGGGACGCCGAGTTCAGATCCATCAGGCCTTGTTAACGCCAGACCTGGAGATTTAAGAAATCTCCCCAGGTGAACTGGCAGCCTTGGCTTTTAACCCCTTAAATGTCCAGGTTTAATGAACCCAATGGGGTTTTGTCCCATGGGACATGGGTTATGGGTCGTTAACCGAAAAGAACAGAAAGGCCAATATCACATTTCAGAAAAAAAAAAAAAAATTAACTGCTAATAAATATTTATCTAAGCATATATATATATATATATATGTCTTGATAATTCGCAATATTTTTGTGAAAATGTTCTGTGAACTGAGGAGAAAAAAGTGGAACATTTTAAAGTCTGGAGTCAACCTAACTCAGCATTTCAGAGATATATTATCACACCATCAGTCAAACATGGTGGTGGTGGTGTGATGGTCTGGGGCTGGTCTGGGTCCAGTTACTTGCTGTAACAGATGGACCCATCACATCTGCTCCCTTTCAGAAAATTGTGGAAGAGAAAACCTTTGACCTTAAATGTTGGGAAACAATGTGACAGAATTTTAAAATATGTTAGAAGCAGTTATCAAATTAAAAGGCAGTTTGGTTCTTTTTCTTCTTGCTTGTTTTTGATATTTAAATTTGTTTTCTGATGCAAAATATTTAAGCGTGACAAAATGCAGAAACACAAGCAATCTGTAAAGGGCAAACACTTTTTCACTCTTTTGCCTTAAATTAGATGCAGCAGAGCCCATTTTGGTGGGAAAGAAACAGCTTAGAGTAAACTACAGAATGAGATATTATGTGTAATTGCTCATCGCTATTTTAAGAAAGACTCATCTATCAAAACAGCAGGATGTTGATCTAATCATCTCAATATCAGATTCCTAATTAGTTTTTAAACCTAAGCAGTAAGTGATAAAAAAATAACTACATTACAGAGCTGCTCATATTTTTACTTCAGGCACACACTCACTCCCTTTACCCTCTTGTTCGCATCACAGAGAGATGTTGGTTCAGACGGTGAGGCGTGTGCGACTTTGGAATAAGAGCAGAGGAGGAGCCTGCAGTGTGCTCCAGTCACCTGACTTTCTGACTGGCTACACGTCACAACTGACAGGCAGCAAGATTGTTTGTCACCAAAAATCAGACCAAGACAATCGAACATGTTTGAAAGCCTGGGGTTATGATCGGAGCAGTCCTGATGTTTATCTGAGCAGACGAGATTATCTGATAAGATCATCTTTAAAGCCATTACTGTAATCACGCACATCCTGAAGATTGTCATACGGTAAGAAGTAGGTCAAAAATCAGCATGTCTATGCTGCCGCATGAACAGGGCACCAGGGTACTACTACATGCCACCAGCAAACCACAGGGATTACGGTTACAAACCAATCACACACATGCACTCTCATTTGGATAAATTTGGATTCAAAAGACAATGTAACATGCATGACCATCAGGCTATGTTTTTGTTTTGTGGGAGAAAACCACACATGTACACCTGAAAACATGCAAACATCACACAGACAAGCCCATGATGGGTATGGATCCGACAGCCTTTTTAGTACGAGTCAAAAGATCATCATTTAAACTAAAAACAATCAATTATATCGTAGCTATAGGCACCAGGAATGTGTAAGTAGTCTCCCACTAGAAAAGCAGTTCTGAAACGCTGAAGCTTGGCCTTCACAACACATCTAGGGAGCCCCATGGTGTCTGACATTTACAACATATTCCACCTCCATCGTTTATCCAAACCCACAAGTGTTTAATTGGACCTATTTGCAGAGGCTAAATCAACAATGAAAGCCATCTTCCATTTGAGAAAAGTGATGCTATGATAGAACAGATAAACTTTCCAACATTGTTTGAGTGGGAGGTAAATAGAAAAGTGTCATTGCTCAGAGCAGAAGATGGCCCGAAGAAGCCATTTGCTGTGTGTAGACATCACATCGTGACACGAGGATTCACCTCTGATACGTTCAGAGGGTCTTCTGGAGGATGAAACCACATTGATTTGACTTTACTTTCCTTTGACATCAATGAGCCTTTGAATGTCAGTCATGAGCCAAAAAAGTAAGGCCAACCCGGACTGGGTGATGGATGTGGGCCTGTGCCAGTCTCTCTTCCCTGCTGCCTAACTACTTTCACGCTGTCTGAGTGAATACGACGTAGCAGAGATAGGCAGAAAGTTTGAAAATAAGAAGGGAAAAAACACAAGTCCTTGTGCAAACATTACTTTTGCTTCAGTAAGTTTAACAAACCATGTGAACATTCAGGAAAAAATAATCCATTTAAATCGTCAGGACTGCTTAAGTGTGATGAGAAAAGAGAAGCATGGAGGGATTAAGGAGAAGTTTTCAGTTCACCACTCGGAGACACTTTTGCTTTTCTTTTCTTGGAAATTAGTTATGACAAAGACAGTCTGGGAGTAAGAGACTTGTTTTGTTTCTTTTTCTAATACTAATTTAGGTCTTTTAGCACAGAGCAGAACTTACTCCCACAAACATCTACATTTTAAAGTTAGCTGTATGAAAACCACACCTGACTGCAACTAAAAGAAAAGAGCTTGAGTTATATTTTGGCACCAGCTCACCCTTAGTTGTATTTTAAAGAATCATCAGCCAAATGCAGATGCGTGAGATAAAGCACAAGAGTGCCTGCTTGAATGTGTTCTGTTTCTGAGTAGACCTGTGGATAATAAAAGGTCAAATACTTTGGGACCAAGCAGCTATCAGAAATAAAAATATTAAAATAAAAAAAACTTCCACAAGCTCCACTGGGGGCCATACTTGTGTAGTGTTAATGAACTACATATCTAGGAATTAAAGGCTGTTGCTATCAGCTTATGTTTTAATTCCTGAGAATGATAGAAGTAAATTGCCTTGGTTTGCTGAGAGCACTGGTAGTATATTTTAATGCCAACACACTCAGGAGTGACACCATTTTGGTCTGCTAGTTGTGTTTTTTTATATTCTCCTCACAAATGGTTTGTGGTGTTAAGCTTCTCTCGAGTTTAGTGGTCCAACCAGTTGATCACCACAATAACTCATCCTTAGAGTCTAGACTTTGGTGCACTGCTGAGTTTGTATAAAGTAAGATTAATGCCAGTTAGCTAAACCTTATTTGGGAACAGTAAAACCAACAATTACAACTTTTTGATAGCAACAGCAGCTGAAAAAGCCTTGAAATTGGATGCATTGTCAGTGAAATCATTATGGCAAACCCTAACCCTATGGCATCTTATCAAACACTTACATTTCCCTGATTATTTTTTTACACAAACTTATTATTAGTTGTATTTGCCACAAATATTGGAGGATAATAAATTATCTGTCATAATAAACCACATAGCCTTACTTGTGGTCTCATGTTATCCTATTAAAAACTAACAAACAAACAAAAAATATATACAGGTAGGACATTATTTTCTTTGCAATTTTTTAGAAAATTTCTGGCAGTTAGAATTCTGATATACTGTTGTAATATAAATATACATATAAATAAGTTATAATTAAAATTATATCAAACATGTATGGTTTATAAGTATTTTTAACTTCAGGTCAAATGTACTCATATTTTTATTACATCTCCCTTGGTCGTTTCTAGTAGGAATGAATGCCTTCTAGGATGTACTCTGGTCCTCTGATTGGCTAACAGCAACACAAGTCTACCATTGACCCTGCTCACTCTGCTATGCTGATGTTGTATCTCCACAAATAACCTGCAGCTGTGCTGGCCACTTCCAGGAGGACAGAGGGGAAGAGTCGCATCTTTGACGCTGTCCAGGGTGCTGAATCATGCAAGACCAGGAGCGGGAGCTTTACGGAGCAAAGTGCAGCAGTAACAATGCTGAACTCCAGCTGAGGGGAGTTCTGCTGTGAGGTGGAGTTACTAATGCTAATGGTTAGTTTCTACTAGCCCAGATGTTTTCTGTTGTTTCCTGGACACAAAACGAACCACAACCTTCCCCGTCGTTAGTCAAGATGAGTGAGTCCATGAATGTTAAGTGACAGTGTAACGTAGATCTGTCAGGCTTTTCTAATCCTAGAGTAACACTAATGCAGGAGATAGGTGTAGGAGACTATTATTTTAAACTTTAGCTTTTTTATTTCGTTAGTTATTTTTTCAGTCTCTTTTTCCAGACCATTCCAGTTCTAGCATCAATATGACACAGGAACTAAAACAGGCTCTACCAAACGGTTGATCAGAAGATCAAAGTTAATGAGATGACTTTAAATCAGGCAAGAGTTTGTAGATATTGAGCAGATGCAGCAGCTGAGAATAGTTCACAGCACCTCCACAGACTTTGAACAGATTGTGCAACATGTTGTGGAATAGCATGAAATTGTGCATCATGTTCTTTACAAGATTTTAACAAAACTGTGATTTCTACACAATGTGATCTTGGATTGAGATTTTTAAATATATTTAATGCTAAAGGTGCCATAGAAGTGGCTGTTCATGTTTTGTTTTTGAGTGGATGATTTCTAACTACCAAATGTAACCAAACATGGAGTTCATATTTTATTACTATTAAACTTCTGTTTTTCCATGAATGTACTCTTTTAAAAACATAAGCTACTTTAAAAAACTTTAAACAGTATAAGACTAATGTCACAGCTTAAGCAACAACAGTTATGTGCAGGAGAATGTTTCATGTGTGCCTGTGCTTGTGTGTGTGTGTGTGTGTGTGTGTGTGTGTGTGTGTGTGTGTGTGTGTGTGTGTGTGTGTGTGTGTGTGTGTGTGTGTGTGTGTGTACCTGAGCAGTGAGGCAGAGGACCAGTCCAGTGACCATTCAGCTGACAAGTGAGTGATGAGTCTCCGATAAGCAGACGATCTCCGAGGCAGGAATATCGCACCGTGGCTCCAAACGTGAACTTCTCCCCCATCATTGCTGCATTGGGGGGTGTTCCCGGGTGACCACAGTCCACCTCTAGATGGGAGAGCAGGAAGAGGATTACAAGAGAAAAAGAGCTCACTTCTGTTTGCCTCAGCCCACTCAACAGAAAAGACCTCCAACATTTTAGAAATAAAAACCCAGTTTTCTATTTAATAAATTCTTCTTTCCTTTATCATTTTACCTCATTTTAATAAATTACACACAGTTTAATCTAGATTTTAATAAAAGTTCTGTCAAATTTTGCAAATAGCAGTCCAATAAACTGCTCTGAACTTTGAATTCGATAAAGAGATGTTTAAATTAAAAGAGCTATTTGAGTGCATTTTCATATGAGACACTCTGATTTATGATCTAGACCCGAGGCCTTTCACATCATCACAGTGATATAAATAACATATGGATGGGTCATTAAATCGTCAAGTTGATGCTTTAATTTGAGTTGGGTTGCTTTAATATCAGGCTCATTTTAGGGGAGAAAAAGTCATTTGACATCTTGTTCAAAGTTGCTACTTCAAAACTAGTTGGACAAGAATAACTGAGATGACAAATTAATGTTTTTAGGAAGTCATATGCAGTTAGGCTGTCTGAAGTCTTTGTATAATTTTAGAGTGATGGTGACTCTTATGCTGTCAGTGTATCTTTAGTCTCTTCTTAGACGTGTGGGCTGTAGCTGAGTCAGGCTCAGATCAGTCACTGATGTAGACACTCAGATTTTCAACATCTTCACCCTGAAAAGCTCTGCGGTTGCCTCAGATCATCTGTCTAAGGTCATATTCCACACGAATGAAAATATATCATTACATGAGATCAGAGAAGTGTTTGCCCCCGTATACCTCCAAGCTACTCTACTATTTCTGTCTGCAGATGGTGGGTTTAGTTCTGCTTCATCTGTGCAGTGTTTCTGTTGCCTGATCCTCGTTCTTTATTTTTTCTTTGCTAACAATTCAGGCTCTCCAGGAATCCCATCTATTTAATATGCTTTATTATTCTGGTTATTATCTCTCTGTGCCAACGAACTTAGTTAAAACAACTCAAAACATCTAAAAAGGGCCATGCGTCTGCTCTTCCTAACCTAAATAAGGCACAAAGGCAGTTTGTTGTTTTAGTTCCAAGGAGGTGACAATAAAGCAGGCACTTGTCACTTTATAGCTGAATCCATCTTTTGCCTTCATCAAAATGAAGAACAAAATCTGAAAGTCAAAAATATGATGGCAGATTAAAATCCCACTGATGGCTCCGTCAGTGTCAGTCGTGTCCTGGGGCGAGACTCTCTGCCTGCTGGTGGTGGTCAGAGGGACCGGTGGCATCTGTGCTCGGCAGTTTTGCTTCTGTCAGCGCGCCCCAGGGAAGCTGTGGCTATGATGTAGCTCATCATCATCGGTGTAAGTGATTCACTATAGTGTATACTGCTCCAGAGTCGTCTAAGAAAGAAGCTTTACAAATGCAGGTCATGTTTCATTTAACACTCATGTTCTGATCAAGTGGGTGAAAACAGGAAGAACCTACGTGTTCTGTGTTAAATCCTGGGGCCTACTCGAGGCGTGTGTTCCGCTTGTGATGCATCCTTGTTCTGTATTTGTGCATGTGTGGGAGGATCTTTAGTGATGTCAGTGTGTATGTTTCTCGCATTGCATCACAGTATTGTGTGGCAAGAAACAACGCGTTTCGCCTGTAGTTCGGTAATTTAGGATTTTTGGAGGAGGAGTCAGCGAAGCAGATGGATCATTCTCGCTGTGTGGTTGATAGTTGGGCCTGTGGGAAGCTTGATTTAATGTTTTATTGGAACTTCATCCATAAAAGACTGCAAAATATGACAGAGATGATAGGAATGTTCTCTGATGAAAGCCTGCACTCCTGCAGCAATGGACAGTTTGTGAGGCTCCTTTAGTTCACGGTAAGTCCTTGTGACTATGTATTTGTTAATTAGAGAAGATGTTTTTGAAAACATTCAACTTCATGTATTTTTTAATCCACAGTCGTGATTTTGTTTTAGCGTTCTGATTCAGGCGTCTCAACCTACGATCATTATAATAATAAATAAAGAAATAAATAAGGACACTGGTTTAATAAGACTTACCCGGCTTTGCAGTTGCTGTGAAGATTTATCAGTTTCTTTTGGCCATCGCCCACAGGTGATGTAAATAACGCTGTGGCTAACTGAGCTAACTGCTGCTATTAGCATAATCACAGCTTTCTATTTTCAGAAGAGACCGGCTCAACTTTCCTTAAGACAAAATAATTGTAGGCCTCCAGACGTTTGAAAGTCTTTAATTTTTCATGAGTGAAGGGTCCAGCTGTTTAATAGGACTAAATGTCTCCCCAGCAGATTTGTGAAAAAACACCGGCGAATCGGTCGAGCACGCTCAAGCAAAGCCCTTTACATCATGAGCAGCATGTCCTGTCGGAGTTCAGAGAGTAAAGAGCAGCAAAGCATTTGTGGGCCGGCCTGGATGCTCTGCTGATGGACTTCCTGACTGGTTTTCATTAGCGTGAACTTGTTTCCTTTATTTCTAATGTGAGTGTTGCACATGGTTTTAAATGAATGACAATAGTTGGATTAGAGTCAGGATGTGGACCTAACATCTAAGGCTGGTTTCCTTCCATTTCTGTTTGTTTAGAACATAGTTGTAGTGGTTCAGGATCGTGCTGTGGGTTCGTTTTGATCGTTGAAATGAGCTTATTTGTAATACTGTTGTTTTTATTGTGTGACAATTATGCTTTTGTTATGATGAGTGCCTAGGTGTGACTTGTTTTTATGCTGCCTTCCTGGACCGGGTCACTCTTAGAACCTGTTTTTCACATCTGAAGAAAGCTTTCGATACAGTAAACCATGATGTATTGATGAGAAAAATGGAAAAATATGGTTTCAGGGGTATAGTTTTGGACTGGATAAAAAGTTATTTATCAAATAGACAACAATATGTGCAAATAAATCAACATAAATCAGGACTAAGAGAGATACAATGTGGGGTACCTCAAGGATCAGTCTTAGGACCTAAACTATTCATAATGTACATAAAAGACATTTGTAGGGTTTCACAAGTATTGAAGTTTGTATTGTTTGCAGATGACACAAATGTTTTTTGCTCGGGTGTGGAATTGCAACAGGTCCTGGATGTGGTCACACAGGAAATAAATAAATTAAAAAAATGGTTTGATGTAAATAAACTGTCACTAAATTTAGAGAAAACAAAATTTATGTTGTTTGGTAATGAAAGTAGATACAATGAATTAGATATAGTAATTAATAATGTAAAAATTGAGAGAGTATATGAAATAAAATTTCTTGGGGTGGTCATAGACAGCAGGATCTGTTGGAAGCCACACATCAAATATGTTAGGGGGAAGCTTGCACGGGGCATTGCTATATTGGGGAAAGCTAAGTATATTTTTAATCAGAAAGCACTTTATATATTATACAATACGATGCTACTGCCATATTTGAGCTATTGTGTAGAGGTCTGGGGAAACACGTACAAAAGTAATTTACAAACAATAATGACAATGCAGAAAAGGGCTATCAGATTAATAACAAATGCAGGATATTTGGATCACACAAATGAACTTTTTATTAAAACACGGACAATGAAGTTCCAGGACTTGGTTAAATACAAAACAGCACAAATAATGTATAAAGTAAGAAATAAATTAATGCCGGATAAAATACAGAAACTGTTCACAGAGAGAGAAGGAGGATATAACCTGAGAGGGACACTAAACTTAAAGATACATAAGTTTAGAACAACATTAAAACAGATGTGTATCACAATAATAGGGGTTAAATTATGGAACAATTTAGAAGAAGAAATCAAAGTAAGTACAAATATAAATGTGTTTAAAATGAATTATAAAAAACATATTCTGAACAAGTATATAGTGGAAAATAGATGATTTATGTGGGTGTCCTTTATTCCAAGGAAAAGTAAATTGTATCAATTGTAAAAAGATGTTTTTTTTCTTTTTTTGTTTTTTTCCATATAATTTGGTGGGTTTTTTTGGTGACTTGTACCATTTTGTTTGTTTTAATGTAGGTTTTGTGTTAGATTTAAGTAAACAAGTAAAATGACTTGTATAAAGGGGTAGGGATATATAAGTTTCCACTTCAGCCTACTCCTTTTCAAACACAGATGGGATGATATGTATTTTTTCTGTTTGTGGTACTTTTTAAAAAATTATGTATGTTTTCTTTGTTTGAAATAAACTAAACTAAAACTTACCTAAAAATATAAAATGGAAAAAGGAATTTGGAACAAAAAAATGCATTCTTGACATGAATGTGTGTGCATAGTGTGAATACTCCACTTAAGTGCTGCAGTTACAACAAAGGTAAGAAACTGTGTCTTTGTGACCTCAAAAGACCTAAATCTTGTAATTTCATCAACTTAGTCTAATAATGAAAATCAGGATTTGCTAACCAGAACCAAGCTGTCACTGATGCCTGGAGCAGTTCATAAACATCTGAGACCAACACTCTTGTGAATCTGTTTAATTAATATCACATTGGATTAAATAGATGGTGCGCAACAGCTCTCTAGCATGAAATTAAGCACTCTTAGAGCTTGTGTGCAGAAAAAAAGGCTTTACTTTAGATCATTTCACCAGAAATAGGTCATTACTGTTGGCAGACTCGTACATTATTAGAATGCACAATTTAGCAGGTGTTTGGGTGCAGCATTAGAAACCCAAACACACCCCTGCTGTACACACGTGGCAGTAGTAATGATCTAAGTTTTGAAAGGGCATTAGCCACGTCCTCAGCAACCGGTGCAGCTGCAGCTAAAATGTGGGCAAAACCCACAAGAGGATCCGGTACAGCAAAGACACCCTCAGCCACAACTTTGAAAAGTTTGACATGAAAACCAGCAACACACAAACAAGTTGAAGCAGAATTAGGAATAAACACGTAGAAACAGTAAAACTATGCAGTAAAATCAGCAGAGTCCACCTTACCAATGCATTCTGGGAGAGGTTTGTCCCAGTATCCCGTCGGCTGACAGGTGAGCACAGATGAGCCGAACAGGTAATATCCAGGGTTGCAGTCGTAGAAGACAACACTGCCGAATGTGAAGTTCCCATGTTCAATTTTACTCTCCCGAATGGAATTGGCAGGAATGCCGGGATCGGTGCAGTTAACGACTGTGTGCAAAACATCGAGAAGAGACCTTGTGTTAGTTCCTCATGTGGTCGAAAACTACTAGAAAGAGCTAAACATTTATCATTAACTATAATAATAATAGTAATTTTTATTAATCTTAATAGCTGCAAATATGTACCATTTAAATATGGACTTCCTTTTATAACATTTGCAAATACATTGATTAAATGACTCCTCCTTGAACCGTCACCTTATCGTGGTGGAGGAGTTTGAGTGCCCTAATGATCCTAGGAGCTATGTTGTCTGGGGCACTTAGTGCCCCTGGTAGGGTCTCCCATGACAAATTGGTCTTAGGTGAAGGGTGAGACAAAGAACGGTTCGAAGGATCTTTCATGGCGGTTAAAATGAAGAGTCGGAGTACCCGGCCCGGAGGGTTACTGGGGTCCCACCCTGGAGCCAGGCCTGGGGTTGGGGCCCGTGAGCGAGCGCCTGGTGGCCGGGCTTTCGCCCATGGGGCCCGGCCGGGCCCAGCCCGAACCGGATACATGGGCTCGTCCAACTGTGGACCCACCACCCGCAGGAGGAACATGAAGGGTCCGGTGCAATGCGAATCGGGTGGCAGACCAAGGCGGGAGCCTTGGCGGTCCAATCCCCGGACAAGAAAACTAGTTTTTGGGACATGGAACGTCACCTCGCTGGCGGGGAAGGAGCCGGAGCTTGTGGCAGAGGTTGAGCGGTACCGGCTAGATATAGTCGGACTCACCTCGACACATTGCATTGGCTCTGGAACCCGAGACCTGGAGAGGGGTTGGACACTCTACTTTGCTGGAGTTGCTCCGGGTGAGAGGCGGAGGGCTGGGGTTGGCTTTTTGTTAGCTCCGATACTCTCTGCCTGTGTGTTGGGGTTTACCCCGGGGGACAAGAGGGTAGCTTCCTTGCGCCTTCGGGTCGGGGAACGGGTCCTGACTGTTGTTTGTGCTTATGGGCCAAATATCAGTTCAGAGTACCCACCCTTTTTGGAGTCCCTGGGACGAGTGCTAGATAGTGCTCCATCAGGGGACTCCATTGTCCTGCTGGGGGACTTCAATGCTCACGTGGGCAATGACAGCTTGACCTGGAGGGGTGTGATTGGGAGGAACGGCCCACCTAATCTGAACTCGAGCGGTGTTTTGTTATTGGACTTCTGTGCAAGCCGCAGTTTGGCCATAACGAACACCATGTTCGAACATAAGGATGCCCACCGGTACACTTGGTACCAGGGCAGCCTAGGTCACAGGTCGATGATAGATTTTGTAGTCGTATCATCTGACCTGCGGCCGTATGTTTTGGACACCCGAGTGAAGAGAGGGGCGGAGCTGTCAACTGATCACCACCTGGTGGTGAGTTGGATCAGATGGCAAGGGAACATGCCGCGTAGACCTGGCAGACCCAAACGCATAGTGAGGGTCTGCTGGGAACGCCTGGCAGAAGAACCTGTCAAGATGGTCTTCAACTCCCACCTCCGGCAGAGCTTTGACCACGTCCCGAGAGCAGTGGGGGACATTGAGTCCGAGTGGGCCTTGTTCCACTCTGCGATTGTCGAGGCGGCTGTTGCTAGCTGTGGCCGTAAGGTGGCCGGTGCCAGTCGTGGTGGCAACCCCCGTACCCGCTGGTGGACACCAGAGGTTCGGGGAGCCGTCAGGCTGAAGAAGGAGGCCTACAGGGCGTGGCTGGTCTGTGGGTCTCCGGAGGCAGCAGACAGGTACCGGATAGCCAAGCGGGGTGCAGCAGTGGCAGTTGCCGAGGCAAAATCTCGGGCGTGGGAGGAGTTTGGTGAGGCCATGGAGAAAGACTATCGATCGGCTCCAAAGAGGTTCTGGCAAACTGTCCGGCGCCTCAGGAGAGGAAGGCAGCAACTCGCTCACACTGTTTACAGTGGGGATGGGGAGCTGCTGACGTCAACTGAGGCTATAGTCGGACGGTGGAAGGAATACTTTGAGGAGCTCCTCAATCCCACCAATGCGCATTCCGAGGAGGAACCAGAGCTGGGAGGCCTGGGGATGGACTGTCCGATCTCGGGGGCAGAAGTTGCAGAGGTAGTCAAACAACTACACAGCGGCGGAGCCCCGGGGGCGGATGAGGTTCGTCCTGGGTATCTCAAGGCTATGGATGTTGTAGGGCTGTCATGGTTGACACGTCTCTACAACATTGCGTGGTCATCGGGGGCAGTTCCTAGGGAGTGGCAGACCGGGGTGGTGGTCCCCATCTTTAAGAAGGGTGACCTGAGGGTGTGTTCCAACTATAGGGGGATCACACTCCTCAGCCTCCCTGGAAAGGTCTACGCCAAGGTACTGGAGAGGAGGGTCCGATCGATAGTTGAATCTCAGATAGAGGAGGAGCAATGTGGTTTTCGTCCTGGCCGTGGAACTGTGGACCAGCTCTATACCCTTGCAAGGGTGATGGAGGGGGCATGGGAGTTTGCCCAACCAATCCACATGTGTTTTGTGGATTTGGAGAAGGCTTATGACCGTGTCCCCAGGGGCACCCTGTGGGGGACGCTCCAGGAGTATGGGGTGGGTGGCTTTCTGTTAAGGGCCATTCAGTCCCTTTACCAGAGGAGCGTGAGTTTGGTCCGCATAGCCGGTAGTAAGTCGGACCTGTTCCCAGTGAGGGTTGGACTCCGCCAGGGCTGCCCTTTGTCACCGGTTCTGTTCATCACTTTTATGGACAGAATTTCTAGACGCAGCCGTGGTGTGGAGTGTGTCGAGTTTGGTGGCAGGAGAATCTCGTCTCTGCTTTTTGCGGATGATGTGGTCCTCCTAGCTTCATCCAGCTCTGACCTTCAGCTCTTGCTGGGTAGGTTCGCGGCCGAATGTGAAGCGGCTGGGATGAGGATCAGCACCTCCAAATCTGAGACCATGGTTCTCGACCGGAAAAGGGTGGCTTGCCACCTCCGGGTCGGGGGAGAGGTCCTACCTCAAGTGGAGGAGTTTAAGTATCTCGGGGTCTTGTTCACGAGTGAGGGTAGGAGGGATCGGGAGATCGACAGGCGGATTGGTTCGGCGTCTGCAGTGATGCGGACGCTGAGCCGATCTGTCGTGGGGAAGAGGGAGCTGAGCCAGAAAGCCAGGCTCTCGATTTACCGGTCGATCTACGTCCCAATCCTCATCTATGGTCATGAGCTTTGGGTAATGACCGAAAGAACGAGATCGCGGATACAAGCGGCCGAAATGAGTTTCCTCCGTAGGGTGGCCGGGCTCAGCCTTAGAGATAGGGTGAGGAGCTCGGACATTCGGGAGGGACTCGGAGTAGAACCGCTGCTCCTCCGGATCGAAAGGAGCCAGTTGAGGTGGTTTGGGCATCTGGTCAGGATGCCTCCTGGACGCCTCCCCGGGGAGGTGTTTCGGGCATGTCCTGCCGGCAGAAGGCCCCTGGGTCGACCCAGGACACGTTGGAGAGGTTACATCTCCAATCTGGTCCGGGAACGCCTTGGGGTCCTGCCGGAGGAGCTGGTGGACAAGGCCGGGGAGAGGACGGCCTGGAGCTCCCTAGTTGGGATGCTGCCCCCGCGACCCGGACCCGGATAAGCGGAGGAAGACGAGACGAGACGAGACGAGAGACGAGAGACGAGATTGATTAAATGAGAAACACATAAGTCGACCCTTTATTGGTCCTGGGCCAGTTTGTCTCCAGACTCCAGGATTTATCGTCTTTTCCACTATTTAATCAACGATAAGATGTTCCTGGTAACTTTCCCTAAACATCCATGTTAAAGACAATAGACAGGAATTATGAAAGTGCAGCACCGGGCAGTGAGAGTGAGCTACAGTGAATTTCCACCTGCTTTTCACAATATTTCTAGACCCAGCTTATATAAATGTAGGATTTAGTCCTCGTTGTTTCTGTGGCAGTAGGAATAAACAAGTGCATATCATTGTGTTTTCATTGTTGTCACTTTGGCTTTAATAATTACGTTTATGGGTTTTCTTCCACTTTTGGGTTATTTTACACCGTGCATGAAGCAGAAACCTGTGGGTGTTTTTTATTCTAACGTGGCGTCGTGTAAAAACAAAAACACACATTGCAGTTACGTGGCGTCCTGCCCAGTTCACTTCGTGCGGCCACATCACTGGGGATGTTTCCTGGAAGCTGTTCCCTTGCTTTGCTTGGAGCCTAATTTGCATAAATGTTATCTGTCAGCGTGCTCACTCGTGAGTTAATAATAGAACTGTTGACATGACCTAAACACTGGCTTTTACTTTGTGTTCTACAAACAGAGAGAGAAGCGAGCTCGGGCTATATTAAGCTCCGTCAGTAACGGTAACACCTCCTGGAGACCAAAGGCACATCCATTGTCAGAAAAAACATCTAATTTAAAAGCCTCCAAAAACCCGACTGATGACAAGGTGTTTCAGCTGAATTCAGGTGAGGGTGAAATTAGGCTCAACGTGACATCAAATGAAATCAATACTGCAAACGCATGACAAATGTTGGCTTAATGTGAGAAAATGTTAGCAGCAAAAGGCGTTTTGACAATGATAGCCATGACGGTTTCATGTGATCTCGCTCCTTTGATCTTTCACCGGGTCTGTCTCTGCACAGCTGTTCACTGAAATAAAACCCGAACATCTTAATGTATCACTGCCAGCAACATTCCCGTCACGAGGAGAATCGTTTTCTAAAAATGAAAAATCTGTCAAATCGCCCGACTTGATCGAGAGGCAACAGAACCATCAAAGCAACAATGAGAACTATTAAAATTCTTTGTCATTCTTTTATGTTTTAATGATTCTTTTATAATTTAACATGAGATATTTTTCTGTAAGCCAAAAATATGAAATGACTTGTTGATTTAAATCAAAGTAGTGATCTGAGGTAAACACACAGACTCTCAGAACATCTCTGATGCTGTGGCTCCACATTCTAATGATCCTCTTTTTGCTGCTGTTTATTCTGCATTTAGACCTAAAAACATTAATTTCTGTCTGTCTGGTTGGTGCATGCCTCGGCGAGCTGGCGGTTGCCGTCTACTGATTCCTGAATGATTCTGACACATCTGCTGGATGCTGGATTCTTGTAGTTGCTCCAGCTTCAGATAACTGGAAAGCCTTACTTATTCTGTTCCAGCACTTTGGCTGGATCCTATTTTTGCTATCTGGCAGCTACTGGCTCTCCTTTTGGCTCTCCTTTCTCACAGGAAGAAGAATGAGATAAAAGTGTTCTTTGTTATGGGATGAAAAAAAAATACTTTAAGACACAGAAGCACAATCGTCTAGCCCTTCGACAGGTCTGTGAAATGCGTACGTTGTAAATTTGGTGCATCTCATGCATCAAAACTACAGAAATACGGTTTATTTTGATTTTTGTTTCATTTCGACTCAAAAGAAAAAAAATACCTCTGTGGTCCCCACAGATGCTAGAGGCAAATGAGGTCAACTATCAAAGTGCATCTGTGTCCGTCTGATGCCTAAAGGCTGTCAGAGCGGCAGCTATTTATACATCACGCCGGTGCTCTGTGGCAAGGACCGTACCTCTGCATGTCGGGGGCTGCTGGCTCCACTGGCGACTGGCCTGGCACTGAGCTGTAGAGGGGCCTTCCAGGGTGTAGCCTTTGTTGCAGGAGAAGCGCACCACATCATTGTAGTTGAAGCCATCGCCTGTGGTGCGCCCATAGATGGGACTGCCAGGGTGGCTGCACGTGACCGCTGCACATCAAGCAGGTACATGACAGAGAGAGGAGGTAGAGGTCAGAGGATAAAAAGCACCAAAGGAGCAATAGAAGACAAGGGAGGAAAACATATGGAGAAAATGCAATAACAATGACTGAAGTGACACAAAGTGCCAACTGCCATTTATGTATAATTAAACCCAGGGGATCATTGAAGAATAGGAAATTTGTTGGTGTAGACCAGTGAACCTCAACTAGTGGCCCACGGGCCAAATCTGGCACGCCAGACCTTTCCTCCCAGTCCCCCCAACCCTTTTGGCCCTAACGTTCCCAAATTGGGGAACTTTGAAGCTTAGCAGCAAAATTCATGTCCTTAATATCAACAAATATCGTCAAGCTGCACCTCTAAATACACTGCAGAGTCTTGGCTTAAACACCACATAAACCTTTTTTACATTCTCCATACACAACTAAAACTACGATCAAAAGAGTGACCGGAAACCCTGCTTCAAGTGGGAGTGTTTTAGCCACATTTCAGTCTCTAACGCTGCTAAAAATCTAAAAGTTCACACATTCTACCCCCTTATGAAGCTAAGACCCTACTGTCTTTTCTCACATCTCTCTACTCTGTACAGCATATATTGATCAAAGTGATACCAGAAGTAATCAAATCGACCTTGTGGTTATAGAAATATGCTAATTAAAGTATGTGTATGTAATATTCAAGTTGTTTTTCCAACAAGAGGATGTGGGCCAACCAGGAAAAGAGAAAATGCACGTTCTGCTGTGTTTCTACAGGCTGGGCCATTAACATGGATCCACCTTAATACAATGGGAATGGTTGGTGATATTAACATCCTGTTTGTGGCACATTAGTATATGTGAGGGGCAAACTTTTCAAAATGGGAGGTGACCACAGTGGCCATCTTGAAGTCGGCCATCTTGGATCCAACTTTTGCTTTATTTCAATAGGAGGAGGGTCATGTGACACATCAAAACTTATTGGGAATTTCACAAGAAAAACAATGGTGATAAAAGGCCCACCCTGTATTTCAAATTAAACTGAGATAAACAGCCTTTTAATCAGAATGACTTCCAAGTTATGGTTCTCATTTATTTCAGTTAATCTGCAGAAGTTCTTAGAATGTCCCTTTTTGTGCTGTCCACTAGTTAGTGAAAAACTGTGGTGTTCTGAGGAAAACTGCTCACAGGAAGAAAGACACACATGTATATTACTGGTTGATAGGCTAAACTAAACTAAACACTAGAAAAAATATTTGGACAGAATATTTATATATTAAATAATTTAAAATGATGATAGAATAATGGGTCAACTTTATTTTAGAAGAGCATCTGGTTCTGATGGTGTCTGGACCTTGAAGAAATTTAGTTGAAGATCCCTGGTGTACAGTCTCTTTCATCTAGGACATGACAATCCTCAGTGTAAATAAATAAAACAACAACCGACTTCTCTTGCTGATTGGAGACATTTCACCTTTCATCCAGGCTTCTTTATTTCTGATCATAGATTGGTAATTCAGAGCTAAAACCATGTGAGTCGTAAAGCCAGTCTAAACAAGTCATGTCTCTGATGAGTAAACATTAGATTTAATGTTTGACCATCGTCAGGTAAAAAAACATGCAACCCAAGCCAGGTTCACCTGCATCTGTACAGCACAACAGCATTGTTTCTCATCTGCACTCAGATTCAAAAATACACTCAACACATCCGGGACGTTGGGCAGTTTAGAGCAATTAGCATATTTTTTTGCATCTGATTGCACTCATCCTCCAAAAATTATCCAAAGACGGTGGTAGAGGAGTTAATTGCCTGCCCCGTAACCAGAGGGTTGCAGGTTCGAGCCCGTCTGTTGTAGTCATGTCTTTGAGCTAAACTCTTCACCCTCCTTGCCTGCTGGTGGCGCCAGAGACTGGCAGCCTTGCCTCTGTGTCTGAGAGCAGCTGTGGCTACAGTGTAGCTCATCACTAACAGTGTGTGGATGTGTGTGAACGGATGACTGGTTGTGTTGTAAAGTGCCTTGGGGGGTTGTAAAACCTAGACCCTCACCCTCTGTTAAAAACAGAGAAAGAGCAAAAGCACAGAGAGCTGAATGGACTAAGATCAGACACCCTACGTTCATCTTCGTGTTTGTGAGTAAACAAGCACTGCTTCAATCATATTTAAAATATATCCTTGACCTTTTTAAACAGCCCCCCCCCCCCCCCCCCCCCCGGCGATAAGGGATAAGGAGGAGAGGATTGGGTGGGTGTCCCTGCAAAACAATCTATTTTTTGTTCCTCTGTGACAGATTCATCAGCATGTTATAAAAATGAACATTTACTACATTTTCACCATTTCTCTGGCTAATCCAGGCTTTTCCTCACATTCCTGCTTCTCTGCCGCGTTACTCTTCCAAACCTGACATGCAAATACCATCAGCTACAAGGACACCAGTCTGTCCACTGCTGTTGCTCCTTCTGCAGCTCACAATAAAATGCAGATGTTCATTTGTTAAGGCTTGGAGCTACAAATCACTCACTTGCGCCTGCAAAACTTCAGACTCTCTTTGTGATTTTGGGTGTATGGGTTTATGGAAAAGTTGATATTTTCTTACTGCTGCTGCCTTTTTCACATCCTTCTTGTGTCACTCATACACTCTCCAACACACACAGTTTCTCTGTGGTGGTTTGAAGTCATTTAAAAGTATGAGAGTACTTACAGATACAAACTGGGAGATATCCAGACCAGTTATGGTCTTGCTGACAGATCCGCACCGAGGAGCCAATGAGCCTAAACCCAGGGTTGCATTGGTAGACCACCGTGTCTCTGTAGCCAAAATTTTCTCCGATCACCTGACCATTCACAATCTGCTCTGGAACGCCACAGTGACCCGCTATAAGGTGATCAGGAAAAGGAAAACAACACAAAACACTTTCTTTTTAAATGGTTTCTTTTTCTTAAATTAAACCGTGACATTTTTTTAATTGACTTCAAATGGAAACAACAGCATATGCCACGGCTGATAGACAGTGGTATTTATAATGTATAACATGAAAACAAAAGCCAATAGAGAACAGTCTCACTAAATCAGTCATGCAGTGCAATGCTTTAGTTCAACTTCCCATCAGAGAGAATAATGGTCTCCAGTGGCTCCCACACAACTAATGGCTGAAGGGCACAAACACAATTTTGATTGTGCTGTCACTTTTAAATACAATTGTGATAACGACAGTAGAAAAGGAAATGACGGGGTCATGTTTTTTAAAAAGGTCCAGAAACAACGCAGCCGAACAGAATTAGTGTCTCTGGGAAAGCGTTTTCCTGCAGATTCTATCTCAAATACATACAGACGTCAGTGATAACTCTGTTTCTCTAATCTACATGTAGACATGTGGAATTCCTCAAAATCAGTGCAATAAGCTCATCGTGTTACTTTTCAGCTACAATAAATCCCCTTTCAGAAAGGAGGATCTTGCTGAGATTTCCACGGACAACACCTGGGAAATTGCCAGTGACTGAGACTCTGATTTCCCTAATTCATTCCTGCACCCAGAAACTTAGTCGAGCATTTTATTATCACACTCCAGTCGAGAGCTGCCAGATTCTGAATCGATAGCATTGGAGTGGGTGCATCTAGGATTCCCCGCTACGTTAGCCCAGCCAGTCACATTACCAAACCGAGCAAATACACTCTAGTTTTATTGAACTGATCCAACCTGGAGTTGAGTTTGGCGTGCTGGTGCCACACAGCTGTTAAGGGACAAATGTGACTGCCCGGAAAAGCTTCACATTCAGCTGCAGCGTGGCTTTGAATGCAACTCATCTCATTACGTACATCTCACTCTTTGCTGTGGTACACAGATGTGATGATGAGCAGTGGAAGGCTGCAGCGCGTTTTCTTGTTTATACATCTAAATAATAAGCTAAAGTTTTGCCAGTGCAGCTTGGATAGTCCTCCAGAGATTCTGATACAGCAGATTTCTAAACATTTGTGGTTTACAGACTCTAAACTGCAATAATTCCTAGAACCCATTGAAGAAAACTAATCTCCAGTCTTCTACAGGTAGCTGCCAAAGCTTTCAGCATAGTTCCTAAACAAATACTGTTTCCACTAGTTCTGAAGTCGTCTGATGTGAATCAGGCAAAACTGGTTAATGAGATTCACATCTTCACACTCTTCACAGACAGTGACATTATTGCCAACAGACGCAATCGTTACTTCTACCGTTTCCCCATCTGGTTCTCTTCTGGGCACATTGGCTCAACCACCACACTCAGTAGCAGTAGGCTGCCAGCAGTTTTTGACCAAGGTCACGATCATTCATGCCATCCTTACCCAGACACTCTGTCTCCATCCCACTCCAAAGGCCTGATAGGAGACACTCTCTAACGGTAGATCCGGTTAAAACGTAGCCAAGGTTGCAGCTGAAAATAGCCGACGCTCCGAAGGTAGTCTGAGTCCCGATTTTCTTCCCATCAGGAGGAGTGGGAAGATCACCACAGGAAATGACTGCAATAAGACGAAGAGGAGGGTAAAAAGAAGAGGAAGGAGATGGAGGAGGCACCGGTAGAGAGAGGGAAGAGACCAAGAAAGAATGAGACATGAGATGGAAGTTGGCTTACATCATCAGAGTCAATGGGAGAGCACAGTCATTTAGACCCATCTCACCGACCCTAATGCGATAAAAGGTGACCTGTACTATTTCATGGGGAAGATAATGACAGTGTTTTCCTTTGTCCAAACATCTTTCATCACACTAGCTGGCATCTCTTTCTGCCATTACATGAGCCATTCAGCTCCTTTGCTTCTCAAAAAGCAGTTCCCATGGCAGCAGAGAGCAGCTTTTATGGGGTTTCTTTCACGATAAACAATATCTAACCCAGGCTGAGAAAGAAACAGATGAAGTTCACAAACAGAAATCACTGAGCTGATGATCAAACCAATAAGAAATTCATCAAACCCTGTAATGTGTACTGTATGCTAATCTAGTGCAGCTGACGTGATGCATGACTGATTTTCTTTCGTTTGGCTCCATAATAATCATTCAATGAAACATTTTCAGTTTAGACAATTAATTGATGAACCACAGATTAATAGAGACTCTTTTCCAGTAGTTGAGAATTTATCTGTGAAGTATTAACTTTGCTGTTTGCATTCAGGGTTTTGTGGGCTAAACGAAGCCGTGTTTATGTTTTGGATCATGCAAGATTCACTCACTTCTGCACCGAGGTCGCTCATTCCTCCAGCTCCACACTCCGTTGGCCAGACACTGAATGTGAGCCGGGCCGACGCGATAGAACCCAGGGTTGCAGCTGAAGATTATTTTAGTCCCAAACTCATAGTGCAAACCGTTGACTATCCTCCATCTCCCGTGGTCAAGAGAAAACGAGCTAAGGCTGGGGCACGACATCACTGGTGCAAAAACAAAGGGAAAGGAAAAGAAATGAGCAAAGCAAATGGAAACGTTTTGTGCTCCAAGGACATTTGTCTTAATTCAGATTTAATTCTTTATACAGACGCTGCAACACCAAAAGCAATGACTGAATCAGTGGAAACAGGTGTGATTTTAAACTTGAACAAAACAGTTTATGTAAGAAAATATATTTACAGAATGGCACCATTCTTAAACCTGAAGGGTTTTTAAATTCTGCTGCAGTTTTCACTCATAAACATCGGTCTCTGTGATAAACAATCTAACTTAAACTAGAATATGAAACGATGCTCGAGAGTGAGGTGCAGACCATCCCTTAACTCTATTTCACTCTTTCATCCACCCGTTTCATCCCAATCCCACAGGTTGGTGTTTTTGGCATTAATATCCAGCTCCTCTCCATGTGGGACTGCACTCAACATTTTTATGACAGGACGGTTTTGTTCAGACTCTGATAATGTACAAGCTCTCCAGACATTTTTAACTCTCATGTGTACTGCCTCCACCTACAAACAGATAAACAAATAAACTCAAGCATTAAGCCAGCAAGGGAAATAAGAAAACTGGTTAAAATTATAGACCTCAAGAAACCTTATGAGGTTGAAGAATCATCTTTGTGCAAAAGAAACAATTTTCTGTCGTCATGTCTCATCTTCCTACTCCCGAACCGTGTGGTTTCTTGTGATTACCCCCATCTCTCTAAATCACACTCCCCCTCTCCCCATCTCCTTCCATCCTGAGCTCACCGATGCACCGCGGTATCTTGTTGTGATTGCTCCAGGTGTCATCCGGCTGGCAGACTGTGGTCGTCAGTTCTTTGGAGGAGAGCCGGTAGCCACTGTTGCAGAAGTAGGTCACCCGTGTGCCGACGGAGTAATCAGCGGCAAGCACACCTCCATTCACTGGCGCAGTGGGCACACTGCATGACACAGCTACAGGCAGCAAGAGGACCATTGTTGGCAAACATGTTTATGCACAGCAAAAGGCATTTAAAAAAGAACCCTGTTAAGTGAGGGCAGGATTCGGCAATCACACACTGACTTGACTTTTGCAAGGAAAAATGAATTTTATGCAGGTCTGTTGAAGCACGCTGGCCACATGAACATGTACAATTCACACAAGAGGCTATTTGTTTTGCTTTCTAAGAGTTACAATTTCAGCGAGTTTAACTCAACAAGATGTACAGTAATTGCTTTCCTTGCTCCAAGAAGCCACAGTAGGATTAGACAGGCATCCTCATTCATGGCAGACACTTCAAATGATCGCAGCAGGGACAGCTCATGTGTGATTAGCAACATTGATAACATCTGCATTCAAATAAATCGAGTCTCTGCCAGAGCGCTGGTTTTCTGCACGATACCACAAAGGAATGGCATTTAATAGGAGAAGGTTATCATGGACAGAATGAGTTGCACCTGTCAGAAAAGCTTTCAAGAAGATCCATTTCTGTGGTGGCCACTGTTTCTACACCTGCAGTTATATTAACCAGGAAGACAAGTCTGTTGACACTTAGAAGACAAACGTTTTTTTCATGGGATTTGGTAGAAAGGCAATGAATGATTAATCTGTTGACAATAATTATTGTATTATCTCTAAACTTCCATGGTAGTTTTTGCAAAGTCTTTTATTATGATTTACACCGTGTGTTTTTAATTATACAGCTACTGTGAGGTGCAGGTGTTGAGGTTCAAAAGGTGATGCAAACAACTCTACAACTGCAACAACTTTCACAGAAAATATTAAAAGAATCATAAATAATTAATCGTGAGGAAATTGTGAAAATGTTCCGAGGACAGAAAATGAGTGTTTCTCACTGTCAAGGCGCCTGGCCTTGTGAGGCGATATCTTGCGAGGTCAGGCGCCTTGCTTACGGGGACACCGTCCTTCCTTGGTCAAAGAAAATGGTTAAATGGAACAGACTTACATCACGTCACTTCCACGCCGGTGACGTAACGTCACGTGACACAGGAGATAACATTATATTTAAGATGTATAAGTTTCAATATAAATATATAACGAACCTTTTACTTTTTAAATTGTGTATACATTTGTTAAATTATATATATATATATATATAAATGAGGTACTATCCGCTAGCCACCAAAGCTGTGACTAATAAGCAAGTAATCAACTATAGATGACTTCTTTGTATATAAAAAAAAACATTTAAAATTAATTGACTACTTTTAAACTTGAAATTTGCTCCTGAAGTAGCTGGCAGCTTCTGATCCGCCATTCTTTTGAAAATACTGCGGTGTATTCTGGGTAATTGTTGACCAAGGGTAGGCTACAAGACACGTGTATCCTTGCTCAGCTAGCTAAATGGCTAACAAACGGAGAACACACGCCTCGGTAGAACATGGACGTTGGAACATGTCTTGGCGGTTCCTGATGACGTATCTCCTAGGCAACCAGGGCGGGGCCAAGACATCAAGGTGGGACAATTGGGCTGATATCTAAAATGTTGTTTTTTTTTTCTTTTAAAGCAGTTAGCTAGGTTGGTTAGTTGCAGCTTTGGTGGCTAGCGGGTAGTAACATGCTTACATATTTCATTTAACAAATATAAACACAATTTGAAAAGTAAACATCTTATTAGTTATTTATATTGAAACGTATACGTATAAAATCTAACATTAACTCCTGTGTCACGGGACGTTACATGACCGCCATGGAAGCCGCGGTCACGTGATGCAAGTCTGTTTCAATTAACCGTTTTCTTTGACCAAGGAAGGACAGTGTCCTCGTAAACAAGGACATTGAGAAACACCCCAAAACAATGAAAGTTATGCTAAATATGTCATGAGCTGGGGTGAGTACTCTGCCCATCATTCACCATCTTTGAGTTTTGCCTGCAGGAGAGGAAACGCAGCTGATCCTCATCAGCCTGATCAGCGGGGCGGCTTTAAAAGGAGGACGGTTTTCCTGACTCGACGCCGGATGATTAACTACTGACTGGCTTGCTTCACCTCTGGATCCTCTCCCGTCTTGGAGAGAAAGGATTATTCACTGGTTCGCTGCCTGGATTCCTAACTCCGCTCTGCCGTCCTGCTCTCCACCGTGATCACGCTCTCTCTCAGTTTCCTCGTAATCATCATCTTCCTCCATTCCACTCACCCACTTGGACTAAAGACAATTCTCCTCTGGATATCACCCCGGTTCATCTCCCCTCCACATTCATCCTGAACTTCCGCATCGTAAGTCCTGCCTACAAACATTCACTCTGGACTACAATTCCCAGTACTCACTTCTGGTTTCCTCTAGTTGCCGCTTCCTGTTTTCACCTTCCGCTGGATCGCCAGTGTGCCCTCAGTTCTCCTCATCATTTAATAAAGATTATTGTTTTACCTTTTACCTCGCCTCCGAGTCTGATTCTGTATGTCTTGGGTTAGACACTTACCCCAAAACATGACAAAATATGTGTTTATTCAATGATTGTCCCCACCTGTGTTGTGTTGTTGTTCGCTGCATCCATGCTAATGGTTGACTTTGGTGATATTTTTTATTACTAGCAGGTCCGTGTCCTCTCCTGTCACCTCTGTTGCTCTCCAAAGTTCTGTCCTGGGGCCTTTAAACCATATCCTTGTGCTTAATAAAAAATATGTAAATGTGTTATTAACTTTCATTGCTATGCAGATGACACCCAGCTCTACTTTTCCACTAAGCCAGCCTCTTATCTCCTTCCCACGTCTCTTGCTAAATGTCTACATGAACTTAAAAGGTGGATCTCCAACATTTTCCTTTAACAGAAGTAAAAATGCACAGATTCTTCTGACGAGGTCCAAGTCTGCTTTTTCCATCAATGTAATGTTAACTACGTAAGGTCTTCACACCTTACAGTTCTGTTGTTCTTGTTCACACCCAGGTCCCGTATCTTGTACTGACTACTGCAAATCCCAATGAAAAAATATCTATCCACAAACTAGAGTTTTGAGTTGTTTGCATCATCTGCAGAACTCATGTCCACATCATTCCTGTCTTTCAGCATCTGCACCGGCTCATTTAGAAATTCTGTATAAACTTTTAAATCCTTCACCTCAACTTCAAGGCTATCCATAACCTCAGTCCTCCCTATCTCCATCAACTGCTGCGGATTCACATCCCCACCCGTTCCCTCCGATCCTCCACCTTCATCCATCTTTTTGTGCCCACTGCCCACCTGTCCACCATGGGGTCCAGAACATTCCTCACCTCTGTAATCTCCCGTTGCTGACAGCTCGCCATTGTCTCGCTTCTACTTTTCAAGTGACATCTCAAAAAAACATTTATTCAAAAGGGCTTCCTTTTTAGGAAATCCAGTTCCCGTTTTTATTGATTTATCAATTAGAGGCCTTTAAAATATCACTTATTATTACTTTTGTCACTTGCCTTTATTTTGCAGTTAAATCATTTAGTTTTAATTTTAATGTGACCTTTGGTGTCTTCAGAGGCACTTATAGATAAATGAATGAATGAATGAATGAATGAATGAATGAAAAATGAATGAATGAATGAATGAATGAATGAATGAATGAATGAATGAATGAATGAATGAATGAATGAATGAATGAATTAATATTTAAATGTTTATATACTCTAAATATATAATACTCATCTTTCAAGGCTGGTTTTACATATAAAGACATTCTTTGATGTTGTTAATGAAACTGAAGCTGTTTGAAAAAATCTGAATAAGGCTTAGATTAAAGTCTATAAAAAATCAGGGAAGAAATAATATTTACCATACCATACCATACCAATTTTATTTATATAGCACATTTAAACACGGCATGAGAGCCGACCAAAGTGCTGAACAAAACACACAATAAAAACAATCAAAAATAAAAACTAAATCCATTAAAATCAAGTAATCCAACCCTAAAAGGAAAGGTACAAAGGGAATAAGTTAGACAGAATTAAAAGCCAGAGAATAAAAGTGAGTTTTTAAACGAGACTTAAAAAGGGAAAGAGAGGAAGAGAGTCTGATCGGGAGGGGCAAGTGGTTCCAGAGCTTCGGTGCACAAACTGAAAAGGCGTGCTCCCCGCGGGACTTACAGCGAGAGCTAGGGACATGTAGGAGGTGTTGGTCAGCTGATCGGAGAGATCTTGTAGGGACATATGGGTGAATGAGCTCAGACAAGTAGCCAGGTGCTAAGTTATTTAGGGATTTAAACACAAAAACCAGGATCTTAAACTCTATCCGGAGATGGATGGGGAGCCAATGAAGATTTGCTAAAACCGGTGTGATGTGTTCCCGCTGCCTGGTGCCAGTCAAGAAACGAGCTGCTGCGTTCTGCACAAGCTGAAGTCGAGCGAGAGTGGAGGAGGAGATACCGTATAGCACTGAGTTAGAGTAGTCGAGACGGGAAGTAATAAATGCATGGACAACTGAATGAAGATGACGCCTTTTTAAAATGGGCTTAACTTTAGAGAGACGCCTCAGGTGGTAATAACAGGTCTTAACTACCTGGTTGACATGAATGTCCATTTTTAGTTTAGCGTCCATCACAACCCCTAAGTTTGTGACACGGTTTTTCAACCCACTTGTGATAAATGGAAGGGTCAGTTGGGGACTTTGAGAAGTACCAGGGCTGAAAATGATGGCCTCTGTCTTAGCGTCGTTCAGCAAAAGAAAGTTTTCTGACATCCAGCTCTTCACATCATTGCAGCATTCAACAAGGGGCAGTAAGGAGTCATTAGGCTTCACAGAGGCATATAATTGGCAATCGTCTGCATAAAAATGGTAATCAATGTGGTGTTTTTTAAAAATGTCACCCAGGGGCAAAATATATAAATTAAATAAAAGGGGTCCAAGAATAGAGCCCTGAGGAACACCACAAGTCAAAGCCGCAGAGGGGGAGGCAGCACTACCCATCATAACATTAAAGGTGCGGTCACAGAAGTAGGACCTAAACCAGTCTAAGGCAGTCCCCTGGATGCCGACCAGCTGGTTCAGCCGAGTCAGCAGAATAGCGTGATCAACCGTATCGAAAGCAGCCGACAGATCCAATAAAACCAGCAATACATTAGAACCAGAGTCAAGGGTTAATAAAATGTCATTAAAAACACGAAGATGAGCTGACTCGGTGCTATGGAGGGATCGGAAGCCTGACTGGAAGGGATCCATTAAACCATGATCATCTAGATGAGACATAATTTGGTTAAAAACAGCACGCTCTAACAGTTTTGATAAAAATGGAAGCTTGGAGATCGGGCGAAAATTACTCATAACAGAGGTGTCAAGGCCAGGCTTCTTCAGAACGGGTTGAACTACTGCATGTTTAAAAGCACGGGCTACAACACCAGTGGATAAGCTGTTGTTAATAATGCTCAGCATAAGGGGGCCAGTGACAGAATATGTCTCTTTAAGGAGGTGTGGAGGAACAGGGTCAACCGGAGAACCTGACGGCTTCAAGGCAGACAGGAGGTTCTCAAGAGAGGACAAAGAAAGCAAGTCAAAGTTATCCAGAGACCGAAGCCGAATGGGTTCAGGACGACTAGTGACATAGGGAGAACTCATCTGGGCCCGGATACTAGCAATTTTTCCAAGAAAAAATTTCAAAAATTGAGTGCATTGAGCATCCGAGGTAGTAAGAGAGTGGTGGTCACTGGCTGAAAGAACAGCATTGAGGGTCTGATACAGGACACGCTGGTTGCCAAAGGATGCAGTAATAATATTTGAAAAGAATTTATTACGGGCATCTTTAACTACTTTCTGGTAACGAGCCCAGGTATCTATCATTATTTGGTATGAAATCTGAAGCTTATCCTTTTTCCATCTACGCTCGGCTCTTCTGCACTCACGCCTGACAGATCTGGTAGTTGCACTGATCCAGGGATCCGACCGAACTTTAGAGCGTCTAGTTCTTATAGGGGCTATCTGATCTAGCACAGTAAGGCAGGAAGATCGAAAAAAGTGCAACAAATCATCAGTGCTAGAAAACACCAGCAAAGTGGAAACAAGATCAGTGAATAAAGTACAGAATTCTGTTGCAGTAGATGGTGTAAAAGATCGGGCTCTGCGAGCAGGCATTAAATTAATTAAAGAGGCATTGGATCTATGAAGGCGAAACAAAACCGGGAAATGATCTGAAATATGGACAGCATCAACAAACATGTCAGTGATCTTCAAGCCATGAGTGAGAACCAAATCCAAAATATGAGAGCGTTCATGTGTTGGCATATTAACCAACTGGGTCAGGCCAAAAGAGTCAATAACATTTAAAAATTCTCCCACAAGAGGCTTCTCAGGGCAGCAAACATGAATATTAAAATCACCTAAGATAAGAACACATTCATAGTGTGAACAGATATCAGATAAAATATCAGAAAACTGGGTGATAAAGTCTCTGCTGTATTTTGGAGGACGGTACAGCAAGGCACAGAGAACAGGAGGTGAAGAACACAGTTCAAAGGCAGTTAACTCAAAGCTGGTAAAATCAGGGAAGGTGATGGGTTTACAGACAATAGTCCGTTTGAAGATGGTCAAAAGACCACCACCACGACCAGTTGTTCTTGGATTATTAAAATATGCACAGTCAGCAGGTAAAGTTTCAGAAATAGTGGCTAAATCATCAGGAGCAATCCAAGATTCCGTTATGAGAAGGAAATCCAGGTTATTGTCAATAAAATAATCCTTAATAATGAATGATTTATTGCCAAGAGAGCGAGTGTTCATCAGGGCAAACCTGTACGGCGGTACTGGATCCAACCTGGGTGTATGAGAAGAGATGTGCTTCAGAACCCGAATGTTTGAGAAATCCACACCACGGTGGCACCAGCAGGGAGACGGAGCAGGGTGAGACGAGGACGCAGCGCAGAGGCCAGAGGCAGAGCCGGGAGCGTAGAAGAGCCGCCGGTCCACAGACTCCAGGTAACACCTCACAGAGCGGCATCGAGCCGGCACACCCATTCGAGACTGCATGAACCCCGAGGTGCGTGCCAGCTCAGCTCGCACACGGACCAGACAGCCACCATTTATCCAACTTGTCTAGCACTCTAGCAGGTAGGTATGAGAAGTATTTTAATAAATTAAATAAATGTTCTATATTTGTTCACAATTTTAAAAACAGCAAAAAAATTCTGGAACATATTGTCAATGATTTAAAAATCAGTCTGTTCTATAAAAAACACAAATGGTGCACAGCGAGTTCCTAAAATGACTGGTCTTCTGAGAACTTTCACAGCCAAGTCTTCCCAAAGGTGAGAGGCACTCACAATGAAAAGCCAGCATGACGCCTCTACTCCGAATAAATCTGGGTCAACCTGACCTCCAAGCAAAACCAACAGAAAGCTTGAACTAGCCGAGCTTAAGTTGTTACTCATTTCATGTAAGAGGGACTGGATCTGCAGGGGCCAAGCTAAACGGAAGCACTTATGCAAACACCTCCATCTTTAAACGGAGCAGCAGCAGTAACTCCTCACTGTGAATTATCAAAGAAGGCAATCTGCCCACGTGGCACGGAGCCACGACAAAACTCCTGACCACCTCGTTAGAAAAAACAGCTGACATTTGTGAGCACTGCTTGGTGACAACTCAAGAGTCAGAAACAAGGAGAAAGAGGAGAAACGTGAACTTGGTTGACGTTTGAAGTGTGTCTCATCTTTAGGATTGCTGGAATGGAATGGAAGGCATCTAAGGGACAACAGATGGATATCGTCTGTATGAGTACATCAGCTCTTCTGCAGGCACGGCTGAGTTTATGTGCTATATGGAGAAGCTGTGCCCAGTTAACAAACTGATGGAATCAATCACAGGTGTGAAATGTTTTAAAGTTGCCTAAAATGCACGAAGTACACATTTTAATTTTGCTGCATCGGGGGTAAATGCGACTGATCACACCATCTGTTGATGTTTACCGCTGCCTGCAAGTGGCCAAGTGCCCAGAAGTTCACAGGTTTTTACACGTGATCACAAACATTTAAGCGACAGCAGCATGCTAATGGCACGTTAGCAAAAGTAATTTGAAGGAGTGGAAATGAAAAGAAGAGAGGATTGATTCTTGTTTTGTTTCCACCTGACAGGAAACCACCTCTCAATCAGGATGGCTTCAGTTCAGCAGCTAAAACACGGGGATGAGGGGAGCAGGAGCTGCGGTGGTTTGGTGCTGTACGTGTCTGTAGGGAGTAGCGTCACGGAGCCACTGACCAGAAGAATGGGAAAAAGGGGCATAAAAGGTAGCCGCTGGGCCACTGAGCTTACCTTGACAGGCGGGGACTGGTGCGTCCCAGGCATAGTAGCTATAGGGGGTCTTCTTGCACACAGCTGTGCCTTTTCCGATCAGCTTGTAGCCTCTGTCACAAGCCCAGCGCACCATGCTGTCGAGATGACCCCCCGTCTGGCTCACCACAAAGCCATGCTGAGGAGAGTCGGGGGTACTGCAGTACATCGCTGTGATAGATGGGGAAACAATAAAAGCACAGCAAGAAAATAAAAACAAAACAGAAAAAAGGGATGGAAAATGAAGTTGAGCAAAGATGATGGGAAAGTTGACATCAAGGGAGAGGAAGATAAACAAAGCAGAAAAAAAAGACAAAAGACATTAACAAAGTGCCTCTTGAGAAAAACTCAAGTGAACATTTCTTTATTACAGCAAGGCTCCATTTTAGATGTAGAGCCATAATGAGAGGGAATGCCGGAGGAGTGTCGCATCCTTTTAGCACTTGGGCTGTTGCCACAAAGCAAAGGAACTCCTCAAAATGACATTATTACAATTTCCTTCTAGCCTGTGGGCATGCACATATTCAATTTGCTCAAACACATGCAATACTGGTGCACCCTGAAGTTATTTGTTCCTTAGCGTTCCTTTTCCCTCAGCTTACAGCCCATCAAACCGGAAAAAAAAGAAAAGTAGGCTCATTTGATTGCTAGAATATGACTAGTGAATGGCCAATGGGACAGAAAATCTAAAAGAAGGCCGTGTGCGTTCCAATCGCTGTCAAATATGCCTTCCAATCTGCCTGACTGGGAAATGGCACAGAGTTAAGACGGAACGACACGCTGAAGTTGAAATCAGTCGATGTTGAAGTCAATCACGTCAAGAAGAAGTTCTCCTTACAAAATTCATCACACAGCTTGCTTTCAGAGCAGCACGCTTGTTTATTAAGTATAATGGAGAGAAAACATGAAAATTTAATTTCTTTTGTGCTTTCCCCCATTATTATTAATGAATTTCAAATGGAAGAAGATGCCTTGCTGCTCTTGCTGAGCTCGCTTTATTAAAACAGACAATTAAGAATTGAAACCCTTTGAAATTACGAGGAAGCAGAGCAGCATGCGACTTTCTGCCCTCCTGAGATACAAACACTGTTTTGTAATTTGAAGAAAATTCCTTTTAAAAGGGAACGAATAGGAACTCCTAAAATATTTGTTGCAGTGTAATCAAAGCAGACTGATCAAATTCATAGGATCCGTTTTTATAAACAGACCAGATCCAGCAAAGTGAAATCATTAACTTATATGAAAACAGGAAAACCGAGTTAGAATTGTTTTAGTTTCAACCTAAGTAGTGAATAACCTCAGGTGTTCTTGATAAATAGTCCAAAGTTTGCTATGAAGTACGGGTGCAATGGTATGCTTAAGTCCAGATACGGAGTTTTTACCCTTCCAGGAATTACGCATCATTTTTCTTTTTTAGAAAACGTGATGATCTTACATACAGATGGATAAAGAAACAATCAGAAAACACGGAACAACGACCGTAAACTAAGGCGAGGGGGCTTACGGACTATCACAAACTTTGGACCCACTCATCATGAGGACATCACCGAGTGCACGTGGGCGTGCCTGTGGACCTGACAGTCCACTCGCCCCTCCCACATGACGCCCACCGGGGATACCGGATAGAAGCCACATTGGCACTCCAACAGATGACAGCCCACGAGGAAGGCTTCTAGCGAGGAGCCGAAACTGTCGACAGGTAAAAAAATCCACCTGTATTTCACAAATAGTGCCTATTAAGACTCAATTTCTTTATTATAATTAAACGTATTTGTCTCACTTTAAGTATTTACACAAAGACAATGTGATCTTGTGCATTGTTCATAGTGAGTTCACGTCACATAATGCGTAAAATTTCACTTTCCCAGGTTATGAACCCATGAATTTGATCGTTTTCTGCAGTTTAGAGACAAAGAACCAGATTTACTGCTGAGGTGCTGTAAGGGCAAAGAGGGGTTTTAATGGGAGTGACTGGATGCAAGAGGAGTGGGAGGAGGATGGATGGAACTTGTCTATAATTATCTTAAAAAAGGCCTTTCATTTCCTTGGGCACTGCCTTATTTTTCAACCTTAGAATAAAAACTATAAAATATTCTACTTAATGCCAATGTAAAAGCTGTGAGGAGGAGGAACAGATGTTGCTGCAAACCAGCAGGAGAAATCTGGGATACCAGAAGAAGCAAGCATCTTATTGACTCACGCAAGATGAACCAAACTAGATGGAGGAACACAAACTCTTTTCCAAAGGCTTCAGTTTATTTGTTTAACACTATGTGTCTGCTGTACTGCCCTCAGTTATGAAAGGAGACGTTTGGTCCCCAGATCTGAGCAGCTTTAGATTTCCATCCATAAAACCGGTCACTCCCATTAACACAACGCTAATCCACATGATTTAGTAAATCTGGCCCACAATCCCCCCAAATTCAACTTTAAATAAAAGAAGAGTATGATTATAAGTTTGGATACATACTTTGATACTCACCCACATATCTGATGTGGAAGCCGCGGTGGTTGGTGCCGTGATCAGAGGTCCAGCGGATCAGGAGCTGGTGGCCGGAGGTTGTCAGATTGAAAGGTGTTTCAATGTAACCGCTGAGTGTGGACAGACTTTGGCTGTAGATGTTGGGACCTGCGAGTGTCACAGACATCAGAAACCACGGTCAGGCAGATCTGATTCACATTTGAAAGGAGCCAAATCTCAATTCTGACCATTTCAACAAAACAAAAACACACAATCACCGTCAAATATTTCCAAGAAGTCAAACTCTTTCTCAGTTTCAAAGAGCTCAAAGTGCAGAGTGATGTTGTAGCCTTTCTCCACGTTGATCAACCAGGAGCACATCTGAAGATTGGGGTAGTGTTCAGGGTAACCGGGACTTAAGATCACCCCCGTTGAGTCGAAACGCACTTCGTGGGCTGGACATTGAACTGGGGAGGACACAAAGAGAAGACTGGTTACAATTGGGGAAAATTAGGTAAACGCTAACAAATGAGAGAGAATACTACGGAGGGTATTCATGGTGAGAGTGGAAAACAGCTAAATCAGATATAATATGAAAGAAAAATGAGATTATTCATGAAATTACACTAAAACATTACTAGTTGTGACAGAATTACATTTCTCCCAGACTGATTATCCATTTAAGACCTAAACCAGTGTCATCAGGGTCTTTGATATCCATTTATCCAATAATTACAGTCAGCAGGTGTGATAGCAAAGTTTATTATAGAAAAGCTGTGTCTTCGTTGTCTGTAGGCTAGCATGTGTGAAGTAATGTCAGTCCTGTTGCTCTTTCTCCGTCTCCGCTCGTGTCAGAAACATCTCGTCAGAGCCACTAGTGAAGTAACATGATGCAGATAAAAGGTTATTTTGAAAACCTGCTCCAGATAAAAAGGTCAGAGGAAAAATGCAAACACGCATCAAGAAAAAAGGAGGAATTACAACAGAAAGAGGGATCCAGCTCGTGACTGAAAAATAGATGATCAGCCATGGCTTGTATGGAGTAAAAGGATTTTTCTAACCGAGTAAACTGGAAGAAAATGTGATATAACCAAAGGTCGTTCTAAAATATTTATTTAACCCATGCAGTTAAAAACTTACTGACTAAATGTAACAATCAACGATCTAAACAGAGAAATCCCTTTGCATCACTTATTTGATAATGTTGCCAGGCAACAGACTCGGGCATGTTCGGTGATCCCAGCTGGGTTTTAAACGTGTAGAACATCTTAATACTTCTGTTCATGAATATGGAGTTATGACAGACCGCAATGAGAAGCTGCCGTTAAGATGGAAGGAGGAGCACAGCATCCTCATCGGAGAGGGAAGCTGTGTCCACGAGGGTTCAGAAGGACGTGTGCTGCTTCACCTTTTATCAGGACAGTTAGAGGAACTCCACAGGTGTTGACAGGTGCCTAAATGGATATTAAGTTGTTGTAAATGCTCTAACTACTTTTGACAGGTGAGGAGATGCAGTTGTTTTGATTTGCAGACAGCATCCATGACTGTGTGCACACAAAGCTGGGTCTTTGTAAAACTGAAAATCTTCACCTGCAGAGCAAAAAAAAAAAAAAAAAAAAAAAAAAAGCTTGAGTCCACTAAAACTTCGGTTTCAGCCAAAGGATGAAAATTAAATAAAACCCAGATAATAGTCATTTAAAGACTTGGAGTTTACAAATGCTGTTTTCCAACTTTAACTAAACTAAAACTATTCTCAAAACTAGCTTCTAATAAATCTGACTGGGCAACTCCTGGAACACGAGAGCACGTTTACTGAGATCACATAGATTTAGGATTTCATAAACATTGTGACTATCCTTTTAAAACACCAAAGCAAAACATGTTTCACAATATTTTTATGTAACGTTTGAGGGGGCACCTTAAAAACAAGGATATTTGTGGATGAGCTTGCACAAGTACCCAAGGACCTCTTGGTGCGATCTTAAAAGCATAAAAAGACATTTAAAAGAGGATTTGACAGCAAATAAAAGCGGAATCGAGGAACACAGGAGGATTCTTTTTCCTGTCCTTTTGGCAAGCTGGCAACAGGAAATGGCTCCTGTTACAGGCTTACTGTAGCAGTTTCTTGCCTGAATTGCAGGTCAACTCAAATTAAGCTCAACTTTACATGTCCCAAGGAGAGCAATTAGTTTCATGCTAGAGGAGCACACGGACATAACACATCCGACGCAGAAGATGTAATGAATTACTGAATGTAAAAATGAGGTGATCCGTAAAAATGTCAAGCAACAAATTACCGGTCCTAGAACTGGCCAAAGTGGCCGATGTGATCCTTGAGGCGATGTGATCCTTGAGGCCGGTTTTAAGGAGTCGTTCCAACACTCTGATTAGTCACCAGACACATTAACACATTAAAATACCTACAGTGAGGATTCAAAAGTTCATTTCCCTTCTCTAAGGTGCTTTACGAGCACATTTCTGGTCCTTTTTCTAACAAGAGCCATCAGTTATATAAACTTTTGCTGATGATCTGATTGGTTTGTTGGGGTTTATTTTCCGGTATCGATAGATGACTCCTTTGTTTGCTTTGTTTTTATATGTTTGTCATCATATAATAGTTGCTGCAACACAGCTTTATGATGTATGAGAGCTGTGCTGTCAAGAGTCCAGATCTAAAACGCTGCGGTGATTGATTGCCTTTTTGTGTTCAACAATAATAGTCTCACCATGCTTCACCCATTCAGGTTTGACACATTTGTTTGATAACTCAAATTAAAGAGTGTTAAAGCATTTCGAGTACATTACATGAGCCTGAACTGATACGAAGTAGCTGGCTTGTGCAGAACTCTGAGAAATAGGCTCGAAACCATAAATCTACCAGTCTGAAATGACTTTTCAGCACAAAAGCAGCAGATTAGCAGCAGTTTTATTAGGCTGATGTGATAATGTATCTGCATGCAAAACTGGTCAGGCTGTACTTCTCCCTGTTTCCCAACCCTTTGTGTCTTAATTCTGCATTATCTAACAATATAACAACATGCTGAGGGGCTTTATACGTCCTGTTTTTAACGAATTATGAAAAAAAAAAACACCTAGGTGAGCCCACTGTTGCACACGTCAAGAAAACACCTGCTACTTTCAGGCTTTCTGTATAGAAATGGTATTAGACAAGGTATTAAATTCATTTCTTGCACTTTTGAAACTTTGCACACAACTTCTAACCTACTACATCTAAAGGTGCTGGTCATACGATTAGAACATCCTGACAAAGGTAGATTTATTTCAGTAATTCAATTCAAAAAGTGAACTTTATATATTTTATATTGAGAGAGTAATTTAGATTTGTTTATTACGCACAGACAAATACATTTCAAATGTCAATTTATTTTAATGTTGATTGTTTTAACTGGCAACAGATGAAAATCCCAAATTCAGTATCTGAGAGTAAAGTATGAGCATGCACATCATTCAGTATGTAGTTGGGCTCCTTTTGCCTGGATTACTGCAGCATTGCGGCGTGGCATGGAGTCCATCAGTTTGTGGCACTGCTCAGGTGTTCTGATGCACAGAGGCACCACAGGGCACAGTTCTCTCACCCTTTCTGCTCAGCCTTTACACTTCCCACTTCCGTTATAATTCAGACCAGTGCCACCTACAAAGGTTCTCGTATGATAAGGCATCATCGGTTGTGTATCAGATGGGAATGATAAAAAATACTGGGGGGTCATCAGTGACTTTGTTGGATGGTGTGAAACCAACGTTATTCAGATCAATGCCAGCAAGGCGAAGGAGATGCTCATAGACTTTAGGAGGAAGTTATCTCCCACCACAATGGTGAACATCGAGGGAAAAGACACTGAGATAGTGGATTCTTTTGAATACCTGGGTGTTTACCTCAATGATAAAATGGACTGGTCTACAAGTACCGATGCCTGTATAAGAAGGGCCAAAGTGACTCCACCTGCTGAGGAGACGGAGGTTCTTCAGAGTAAGCAGGAACCTGTTACGGACTTTTTAAGATTCGGTGGTAGCATCTAGCCTGGCCTGCCAGACTCGTCCTCTGTTCATGTCTACACAGGGAACTAGTCTGGTTACTCAGGCAAAGAGGCACATGAGGGGCGGGACTAGCCAGTTCAAAAATAAACATCAGATAAAAGGCGGAAATGCCAACTGTACTGCGCACAATCCTGTGGTTTTGTAGTTGTAGCCAAAAATGGTGCCTGGCGATAGAGCAAGCATCTTTTTTTAGAAGAAATGTTTTTAGCGCTTCTGCTTGTTGTGGTTTTAAAGATGTGCCCAAGTCATTTAGAAAAGAGGAAACAGCTGCAGCTAACTCCGCTTCAGAAGACATCTTTGTTATTTGAGCTTTGTGATGTGTGAAGAATGCTGCTCAGTGCTGATTGGCTCGGTTATAATTCTCAGGTGATGGGGTTATTTTAATAGGAGGGTTCCCAGACCCAGTGCTTCCCATAAGGAAGAATGGGGCTGGCTGTTCAGGCTAGGTAGCATCTGCCCTTTTCTATGCAGTGACCTGTTGAGGAAATGGATGCACAGAGAGGGACAGGAGCAGGATTGACAAACTGGTACGGAGGTCTAGTTCTGTACTGGGATGCCCTCTGCAGTCTGTGGTGGTGGTGGGTGAGAGGAGAATGTTAGCTAACGTCCATCATGACCAATCCACATCACCCTTTGTATGAGTGGGTGGGTGCCCTGAGCAGCTCCTTCAGTCAGAGACCGATGCACCCCCGCTGCAGGAAGAGGCGCTTCCGTAGATCACTCATTTTGACAGCAGTTAGGATTTATAACACATTATGATGTCATGAGTCACCCAGCAACTTTAACTATGGTCAGTACTCTGTGCATAATGCACCTGATATATGCAATTGTTCATGTTCATGCCTGAATTTCAAGATATCTACCACTTGGACAGTAAGGGTAGTTGTTGCAGAACAACCGCTACTTTTCATGTTTTATTACTTTCACAATGTTTCACAACCATCTACCCATAATGCTCACTGTTTATGTGTCTACAGGAACTACTGTTGTATATTGTCTTATTTTATTTTGTATTCTTGCATTTTTGGTCACTTTTGTACTCCTCTGCTATCTGCCCCGAGCTGTGGTAATGCACAACATTCCCCACTGTTGGATCAGTAAAGTCTCATCGTAAACCTTCCTGATTGGCAGCTGCGCTGTCCTTGGATCTCAGAAAACACAATGGACCAACACCAGCAGACGACATGGCACCACAAGCCATCAGTGACTGTGGAAACTTTACACTAAACTTCAGGCAACGTGGATTCTGTGCCTCTCCACTCTTCCTCCAGACTCTGGGACCTTGCTTTCCAGAGGACATGCAACATTTAGTTTCATCAGAGAATATGACTTCAGACCCCTCAGCAGTAGTCCAGTCCTTTTGGTCTTCAGCCCAGACCAGACACTTTTGACGCTGTCTCTTGTTCAAGAGTGGCTTGACACAAGGACGGACGGTGACAGCTGAAACCCATGTCTTACATACAATTGTGTCTGCGCCTCCAGCTGCAATCCACTCTTTGTGAACCTCCCTCACATTTTTGAATGGGGTTTTGTTTCACATTCCTCTCCAGGATGTGGTTATCCCGATTGCTTGTTTACTTTTTTCTACCACAACTTGTCCTTCCCTTCACCCCTCTGTTAATGTGCTCAGACACGGAGCTCTGTGAACAGCCAGCCTTATGACCTTTTGTGTCTTGCCCTCCTTGTGCAAGGTGCCAATGGTCGTCTTTTGGACAACTGTCAAGTCAGCAGTCTTCCCCATGATTGTGTAGCCTACAGAACTAGACGGAGAGACAATTTAAAGGCTTTTGCAGGTTTTTTGAGTTAATTAGCTGATTAGAGTGTGGCACCAGGGGTCTTCAATATTTAACCTTTTGGCAGTATTCCAATAATCAGAGATACTGAATTTGGGATTTTCATTATTTGTCAGTTATAATCATCAAAATGAAAGAAAAATACATTTGAAATATATCAGTCTGTGTGTAATGAATTAATGTAATATACAAGTTTCACTTTTAGAATGGAATTAGTGAAATAAATAAACGTTGTCATGATATTCTAATTTTATGACCAGCATTTGTACAGTGTAGGACTTGTTTTCACTCATCATCTAGAATATTCTGGTGCGGATCTGTAGCTGGAAACCCAAATATAGCCACAGGATGTCATTCTTACTTCATGCACCTTTTAAAGTGACGGTGTGTACTTCTCCTGGCAACAGGGGGCAGTAGATACCTAAATTGTTGCAAGCAAGCAGTATTTTTGTGTTGGAGTAAGACCTTACCAAGTGATGCCCATTAGGGTCAAAAAGCCCTGGGGAGTGCAAACTTTAGGAAAATAACAAGCACATCAGACTCTGTGTCTTCACTGGCAACAAGTCAAGAGGTAAGTGTGTGAAACAACATTTAAGAATGACGGAAGTTTTGTAATTGTTTGTTAAAATCATTAAATGCGTTCTGTCCTCACGGGCTCCCAAGGAAGGAAACATGACATCTAATATGGCGTTGCCTAGAGACTTAGACCTGCTACCATGTAGTTTAGACCTGATTTTTATGGTTATTTGTTACAAAGCTACCAATATTTTTCAACAACTGGGCATCATTTCATTCAACAACAATTTGATGGAATTTCCAGAAATGAATGGTAAAACTACACATTGTCTCTATAACATTGGGTTGGGTACTATAAATATATTCAATATTGCAAGTAGTGTTTCTCATGCATGACCTTAAATTATATCACAGCAATCAAGAATTGATGTAACAACAAGTATTCAGCTGTCAGCATCTCCATCTGCTTCTAACGCATCACAGGTCGGTCTGCCTTTTATCCAGAAAATCTCCAACAATCTCCTATCTAGGTGGAAAATCCTGCTCTGTGTTTATCTTGTATGCAAGCTGGACTTCAATCAAACTGTAACTATTTACTGCTTCAACAGTCTTAGGGCCTGTTTCTACCGCTGGTTCCCATTTTACCAAAACTCTGGTCCAAATGATTTATTTAAATGTTTCATCAAACTTTATCTGAGTGCCGTTGTGTGATCACCACCAGGCACTTGCATTTTCTACACATGAACCTGCTTGCTTTAGTTATTATGTCTACACATTTAGAGAGTTAATGTCCAAAAGAGTGCACGGCATTTAAATCTCATGTCACTTTGTGATTTACATTGTAAGTTACAAAGCCCCAGAAAACAGCAATATTAAATGGAAGCCATAATGCCCAGCCTTAACGTGAGGCATTCATGTTACCAGATATGTGTCCCAGCTAACTTCTCGAAACATTTTGTCAGAGGCCAAATCACCTGTCAGACAGCAAAGAATAATTGCAGAGGGTGGAAAAAAATAAAAGGGAAGCTCCTGTTCTTCGTGAGTGGAAAAACCTCTCCCAAACCCTCAGCCATCAAACGCTGACTCAAATGAAGCACAGGTGTGTGATCTGGGGCCAGTTGTATTCTAAAACCTGTAAATCTTAATGAAAAGGAGAGATGTGGTTTTCCATCAAGAGACTGCTGGAGGGTGGCCTGCTGGCAGTCTGTCTGTTAAATGATGCAAAAACAGAGAGTGATGCTGACTGCAACCAACCTTGGCAGAGTGGTGTTAAGCACACTCATAACGGAGCATGATTACACAGAAATGTGGAGGCATGTTTACGCAATGAGAGAGGAAAGCTCACAAGGACAGTCAAAAGCCTCCGACAAACAAACTCATGGATACAACAGCTCACCCCAAACACAACTAACCTTGACAGACAGGTGGTGGCCCATCCATCTGCAGCCGCTCTCCGAGTCGACAGGTCAGAATCTCACTGCCCACCAAGGTGAAGCCGGGCAAGCACGAGTAGCGGATAATGTCCCCTGTGAGGTCATGTACACCAGGGGCCGCACACAGAAAGAGAAAAGAACAACATGAAAAACAAATCATCCATTCAATCATCCGCTCACACACACACACACACACACACACACACACACACACACACACACACACACACACACACCCAGCTATGTCCCTAAGCTCAGTAATCAGCTGCACATTTCCTAATGAAGATTGACATCCCTTAGCACTAAAGGCACTTCATTAAATTAACGGTGCCATAAACTTGTGCGTGCGCACAAAAATTAAAAACACAGATTCAAAAGGCACAAAGTAAGGCAGCCAGTAGCCACATGACTTACACTTCACTCTACTAATTACTTCTGAGCACTGAAAATACAAATAGCTTATGAGTACATCTAATTAGCCTCGCCTTCAAACTAATATTTTAATGCATGAAGCATGAATAGATGGATACACTTAAAAGGATGAGCAGAGGAAAGGGAACACTGACAGTAAAGATGGAATGATGATGCTAAAAGCTACAGAAAATATGTATGATTAAAAAAATACTAATACTCTCAGTAATAAAGTGGTGTGGAAAAGGCTGCCGACAACCACACCTGTAGAATCAGAATATTACTGCAATTCAACCTGTCTGAAAACGTGAAGCAGGCTAAAAGGTCCCAAAAAGCAACACATCATGCCCTGTTTTAAATAAATTATAGTGCCAAAGGACCCAAAGTCATCAAACATAGTGGTGGTGGTGTCATGGTCTGGAGATGTTGAGCTGCTTTAGGACCTGAACTTCTGCTTTCTACCTGATGGAAAAGGTCGGGCCGTTGACCTTACAAGGTGCAATAAGAGTGAAGAATTACATCTTGTGGTTACATTTGGTTACTGCAGCCTAGTTTATCTAAGCAAAAAGCTACTTTCTGGTGGGAGCACTATTAGGTGTTTTACAATATGGAGCACTTACTACACTTATTACGGAAATATATCTCTGGGAATTAGAAAAGTGTGTTGTTTGCCGTCTTGCTGTTAGCTTGCTGTTGTAACTCTGAATGACTCGTTAATGGAAGTAAAACACCACTATTGTCTCATTGTTCACTTCACACACACATTTCACTGTAATACCGGGTTGGTGGTCTTCAAAGAACTAGCTTGAGACAATTTTAGAGCAGACTTTTTGCTTCTAATTCACCATTAGCATAGTTAGCTAAATGTTAGCCTCTTGAGGTAAGATGGGGTTTGTGTCGTCTGACACCTGTACACACTGCACAAACAACATTTCTGACAATTACATTCATGCACTGTGGTCCTGCCCACCTGTCCAGGAATTTTGGGGTAGAGTATGTGAGGATCTGTCAAAATGTCTGAAATGTCATATCCCAACTTCCCCCTCTCTTTGTTTACTGGGACAGCTGCACGATGTCCCGATTGCAACATCTTTGGTTCACGTGGTTCTGACTGCCATATGCATCGCTAAGAAAACTATCCTCTTGAATTGGAAAAATAAAGAAACTCTCTGCATTAACCAGTATAGAAATCTTTTGTTAGATCATATTGCACTTGATATAGCCTCTGCTTCCACTTCAGATGAATCTCTCTGGGCTCCTTTGATCGGTTCCATCACATAGCGAGGGTGGGGGGCCATTGATGTTGTCCTGCGGAATGGTGTGGGTGGGGGGGTGTGGGGTCTGAGTTTGGAGTATCCGGATGTTCCCTGGAGGTGGGTTCACTGGGGGTGTCTGGGACTGGGGGGCTGTTGCCCCCCTCTGGAGGTGCTTGGGTTGCCTCGGGGGGTGGACTGCTGGCGGTTGTGAGTGGGGCCCCTTGGGGATCTTGGCGGTGGCCATGGGTCACTGCCTGGCGGCTGCAATACCCCTGGGCGGGTCTGGGTGGGGGCCTGGGGGCTCGGGGTTTGGGGGTGGCCGGCCCCGTGTGGGGATCTGGGCGGGGCCTTGGGGGTCGGGTCCTGACATGTATGCTGCCGGGAAGAAGGCAGGAACACTCAGCAGTGCCTGGCCCGGGTTCGGGGGCATCAGGTAGACCTTGGCTCCTCTGCCGTTCCATCACAGGGGAGGGGGAGGTCCAGGACGGGAAGGACCAAACCTTACCTGGATGTCCCATGTCTTATATATTCTGGAAGTTGTGCAAATGCAGGGGTGGGCATAGATATTATGCTGGGATGGGGCTGGGTTGGTGCCCTCGGACTCCGTGAGGCTCTGTAATGCTGCTGCTTTGGGCCCTGGCAGGATGGGCTGGGGTCTCCATGCCCTGGGTGGCAGTTAGACAACAGAGGTGCCTATTGGGGCCAGTAGGGGAGCTGGCTCCCTGGAGGGCTAAGCCCAACCAGCCATTCCTCCCCATCCCCGCATATTTCTCTCCTCCTGCTCCCTCACATCATCACACAAACATACACATAGGACCTTGGGGGGTGGGCAAGTCAGGGAGTGCGGGTATGGACCCCATTTCTGCATTCCTGTGGCAACCTGCCCCCCAATTTTATTTGCACCTTATACACTTCCACTGACGATATTTCACACAAACACACACTTAGGGCCTTGGGAGTGAGCACATTCAACGGCATTTGGCAGGGGGATATTTCAGCCTCCTCCCGAGTGCCGGTGCCCACTTCCAATTTTAAACCGCACTTAGACACTGATGGCTAAGGGTGTAAGTGGGGTGGTGTGGTGGCATCAGCTGGCATATGCCGGATGATGCCCGCACTGCCCACTCACCACAGCCATGGAATACACCTCATGATCACACAACACTATATTGGAGCAGGTGGAGGGAGACTAGGGGTCTTAGCCACCTCTGTTGTTGCTAGGCTTCCTGGGGCTGGAGGCTAGGAGGGAGATCTGGCCGTCTGGTTGGGGTCTGGGGTGGTGGGTTGCTGTGCTCAGCGTTGGGCGGGGGAGCCTGCTCATCAGCACCCCAGCAGAAAGGGTCAAACTCTGGTTACCGGCGATGGTTGTACCCCATGTGCAGCAGTACCGGGACCAGAGTTAATAGGGTGTGTATGGGGAGCATGAGTGAGTGTCCGGCGTGCATTTTTGTAAGTCTTGGGTTGTATGTGCATGTGTGAGCATGAGGGAGGGAGTGTGTGACTGTGTTTGTGTATGACTGTATATGTCAGGTGGGGCCTTTGGGTCCTCCCCTCTCCTGGAACTTCTCTTGATGATATAGATCTTTGTCCCCCCTCCCCCTGCCACACCTGGTGTGGGGGCTTGTGCCATGGTCTGCCTGAGTGTTCGTGGCAACCGGGTCTGGGGGTTTAAGATTTTGGCATCTGCCTGATAGATCCCGGTGGCTGCCTGGTGGGGTCTGGGTCCCTGGGCTCTGCTGGGTCCCCGGCGGGGGTGGTCACCCCTGGGTCCCGGGTCGCTGGGTCCCGGGCTCGGCCGACTAGGGGGTGGGAGGCTGCGGGCGGGCCTGTGGGCTTGCCGCTGATATCTCCAGGGACTCTGCCGGCTGCTGGTTGTGGCCCCCCGGGGCGATCCTCTGTGCCTCTCGAGGGGGGCGGGGGCCTTTCTGGTTGCAGTCTCCTTGGGGTTCCTGCATTCTGGGGCAACGCCTGGATCTCTGGGACTTGGAGCTCCCCCCGTCTCCTGCGCATCTTTGGGGGGCGGATCTGTGGTCCCTCACACTCTCTGTTGGACGCTCCTATAGAGAAACCTTAAATAAACAAGCGCGTGTACACACACAGGTGCTCACATGGTGCTCTCAAAAGTATGGGCTTGGGCACGTTCAACACATGTCTTAAGACTATGGGGGGCACTTAATGCATTGTGATTTATTATCGTGATTCTTCAGTTAAGCAATGTTGATTATATATATATATATATATATATATATATATATATATATATATTGTTTTTTTTGTTTTTTTTCATCAAGTTGACGCAGTGATAGGTAGATCTTGTTGTATTGTTGTTGTGTCCCTTTTTTGTGTCCTTTTGTTTTTTTTTTTGTCTTTTTCTGCAGGTTTAGAAGCAGACTCTTGTTCATTGTTTATTTTTGTGGACCCCCCCCCCCCCCCCCCCTCTCTCTCTCTCCACCTTTTCTCTTCCTTTCTCTTTCACCTCTGACTCCGTGTCTGGTCGGAATTACAAAGCATTCAACAACAATAACAATAAAGTTTTAAGTATCAGGCGTGACATTAAAAGCAGACGCTTTGATGCTCCACCTGAGAATAAATCTGTAAGGCTTGTCACCAGCATTCAGACATCAATTCTGCTTGCTTCACAGCCAGACAGGACACGGTAAAAATAAATAAATAAATAAATAAATAAATGTTAGCCTCTTTACAGCGTTCTTTACCTGACAGAGTAAAACAAAAATATGCCGTGGCTTCTTAGGAGTACAAGGAATAACTTCTGGGTCATTTAGTGGCTTTGGGTCTTGTAACAACTTTGGAGATTTTAACCTGCTGCTGTCAAATGACAAATGCCGATGTCATATGTAGTGTTAGCCCGGCACAGACTCGGCAATCTGACGGGCTCACAGTTAGTAAACTATAGATTTCTTTAAGCCTAATTTATACTTTTCCTTCTGCGTCGGGAACACCATTTTCTGCCCTTTTGAGGGCTCTCCAGCAAGCTCGCAAGAACGGATGGAGTCAAGCTCTGTTTTCTAAACATTCATCCAACAAGACGGAGAATGCAAGCTTGTGATTGGTTGTTGACAGCACCGCCATTGCGCCCTCAAAAACATAAAGAGAGCTGAAGATATCTAGCAGCAGACATGGAGCAGCTTGAAGAACAGCTCGTGGAAAAACTCTACAAACATGAATGTTTTATTCACCCATGACTGCAGGACTGAAAAAGTATACAACAAGTGGTTTAGTTGTGGATGGGAATTACAGGAAACATGGGTTTAGAGCTGGTGAGCTCCCAGGAGACGGAGAAGTCAGAGGGCAAAACGTCTCTGTTTGTGCGTGTCTCTCCCTCCTGGAGATGACAGAGAAGTTTAAATTATGCTTTAGTGTTTTTGAAAGGAGATAAACTGACAACCCTCCAGCTGGCTGAGAAGTGATCTGTTTCAATATCACCTTCCTTCTAACATGGTTGAGAGATTTGACCGTTTTGTGATTATTTCTCTGTAGGATTCTTACATATTGCTCCTTTACAGCCATAGAATGAAACTGTTTCCTATTTTAAAATCATTTTCTTGAGTTAGTATGTGCTAAAATCATCCTTTGCAGTGTTAATACAATGTCACTCAGACCCCCACCGCCCTCTGTGGCCAGAATGTCAGGCTTGTAACTTCAGAGTGGTGGGCAGCCATCTATTGGACTTGGACATGCCTGGTCCTGAAGTCTGCTTCCAGCACATTTCCTGCATGATTTAGATCGTAATCACAGCTAGTTTGTTTCATTCAGCGATGAATCACTCCTGTAGACACTAATGAAGTCTGGGAGCCATTTCAGCTGTTAGAGTAAGGTGTTAAAGAGACGAACACACAGCGAGAAGATACCTTTTGCTTTTGGTTCCACTACACAAACACTAGCGGGTGCTAAAAGCAAGCCAAAATGGCCAAGTGTGCCTTTAAACTGTCTTAAACAGTTTATGCTGGAAAAGCTGAATTAAAATAATTCAGCACAGCAAAGCAGGACACAATCCCTCGACAGCAACCAGTTGACACAAATGCTTGATTACAGTGGTTGCCTCCAAAAATGATACAACCAGCTATTAGGTTTAGGGGAAAGTGCAGTTTCACTTACAACAAGGTTGATTTGGAAATCATGTCCTTTTTATTCATCCAGGTTATTGTTCTCTGCTATTAAAATTGTTTGTTGATCTGAAGCATTTAAGAATGACAAAAAGCGAAACAATTTAAATAAAAAATGCATTTGTAAGGAAGAACCAGATGTAAAATAAAGTTATTTACCATCTCAAACAGGAACAGTTTAATAAATCCAATTATTTTCCAATGCAGTGAAATGAGCAAATGAATTATTGATTGAAAGCATTTACGATGCTGGCTTCCACACACTCACGGCTGCCCAAAGAAATCCACTCATGTCTTCATTTAGATTCTTTCACACGTCTTTGCGGGCATCCAAACAAGCAAAATAAAACGAGACAAACCTATTTCAAACTCGTCATCATCAGTTAGGATGGTGGCGTTGGCGACAGGAGGGGGCGGCTGACACGTTCTCAGCTGGTAAGCTGTTGGAGAGAGGAGACAAACACTGAGCTCAGCAATGGAGCCAGTGTGTGTGTGTGTGTGTGTGTGTCCTAATCATCAGCAGCAACCTTTTTCTCTCCTGTCCAACTAAGACTTGATTAGATTTAAAAAATTGCCACCTATCAGATTTCATGAGCATCAAAAACTATCACTAATTTATCTGAGACGGAGAGTTTTTTTATTATTAACCAGCTTGTCTTTGAAGGGCGCTTTAATAGTGCAGACAAAAAAGAAAAAAGAAAAACAGGCATAAGGAGGCATTCATCATTTATTATTACTCATAACCAGAAGCAATACCATGAACTGAAAGAGGGGCTCAAATAAGGAGTGGGAATTAAAGTGGTATAAGTAGGAGAACAAAGTGGGTGATGATCTTTCTCCGGCAATGTCCTGTTCTACATGAGGAGATTTGAAGAGAACTCATGAATAATGATAATTACAGCATTAAGGAGTAGGATATCAGTTGTATCTGGTATCAGAGGGGAGGTTACCGTAGTATTGAAGCTCAAAGAAGCCGCTAGTGCTGAAGTCGCTGTGGAACTTGATGAGCACCTGATTGGCAGTGGTGGAAACGCCTTCTTGTGCGGAGCTGCCGCTGAACTGGCCGATCTGAGGGGAGGACTGGTCGGGTCCATCCCTGTTTCAGGGATTCATGGAGGGGGGTGGGGGTGGGGGGGGGTGGGGGGGGGGGGGTGGGGGGGGGATCCAGTTAGGAGAGGAGGTGGATAGAGACAAAGAGAGAGAGGATATGATTTATGACTAAACAGCAGTAATAGCTCGCTGAGATCAAAGAGCAGGTCTATTTATCCACAAGCAGTCCTGACAAAATGGATTTCTGAACCAGTCAGAGCAACGAAACAGAGCCTCAACATTCTCCCCCTACAGCCTTGTCGCTTATTGATTCAAGGATCAGTTTTGAGGGACAGAAGCAGAAAACAACGAAGACAAATCAATGATAAAAGTCTGTGCAAAAACAAGTGTCCAAACAGTTCATCTGGCTTTCATTTTTCTTGCAAAGACAAATAATGATTCAGTCAAACTCAGGTGAAACTAGCACCAAAACGATCAACTTTACAGTCGAGTGTCACCAAAGAGCAGTATCCACAAGTGAGGAATAAATCCCACCAAACCCACAATTTTCATCCGTAACCAAGTTCTACGTCATCTCTGAAAGTGGAAACTTCTTTTTGACATAATTTCTCGACACTGCAGCTTCAACCATTCACTGACAGGTGTGCTCTCAGAACTCAAACGTCCCTACACTCCGTATGTCATAACATCATTTAAAATGGTCAAATATGAGACACTGTTGACATGTTTGAAATGATGAGAGGAAGTGGACGACCAAGTCCTTTATGTATGTATAAATTACAAAGCAGAGGTCAGGTCAGTAAAAGCAACAGGAGTCGCTACAAGAGTTCTGACAGCGACAAATGAGATGCACCACGAGCCGCAGCAAAACGCAGAATGTTGTCAGACTAATCCACCTCTGGCTCACTCGTGGGACTGCAGCCCCAGGTGAACGGGTTCAAGCATCTAAAGACCTTGCTCCCAAATGAGATTACAGTGATGTGTCAAAAACTGACTAATGGAAAGGACTGAAATGCCATGCTGAAAATGGAGGAAAGCCTGCAGCGGAATTTCTTGATTTATGGAAACCGAAAGTTGAAAAGAGTCACAGCCTGGATTATAGGAGCCAGATATCTGAGATGAACCCAACGCTGACTTGCTGCTCCAGCACTCCCACTGAGGAGCGCTACTCAAGGTCACACACACATGTAATTAAGAAGCCTGTGGGGTGATTCCCTGTGGAGTTAAAACTGGCGTGTCTGACTGGGAGACAAGCTGGAGTCAATCCATCTCTACAGACGGATAAAATCCTTACTAGATTTCCATTAAAGAAAGAATGTAAAGCCCACAGCGGTCACTAGCGCACCTTAAAACAAAAGAAAATGTTTTTACGAAAATCATGAAAACTGTTTTTTAACTGGACACTAATAATAAAAAAAAATGTACTAAATAAACTGATCTGAACAAAAGGATGGCTCCAATAGAAGGTTTGGTATGCGAGTACCACACAATATGAACCACAGAGAGCTAAGGAGGCTGATGAAGGTAAAAGGTTCATTGTTGTTTGGTGTCTAAAATTAGCCTCAGCATTACTCTTCATTAGTTTAGGTTAAGTGAAAACCCAGGTGGCTCCAGCTGTATCAGTGCAGCTCCTTGAGACCTGTAGGTAATCCCATCTTTGGTTTGTGTCAGACTGATCGATTTCTGAGTTGGCTCTGTGTAAATCTGAGTAAAATCCTGACAGCTGTCAAGCTTCTAAGTTTACATTTCCTCATTTTTCAAAGATTTGACGTGCAAAAAGCCACTTCAAGTGCTGTCTCGGGGATTGGAAAGAGAAGTATTGACAAGCATGTTGAAGATGAAGGCTAGAAGACCATTTCCAAGGAACCTATGACTACAGCTGGACACATAATTCACAAGATCCAGGTCACCAGGACTACAGACCACCTCCTTGGATCTGGTCTCAAGAAGAGCCGATCATACCAACAAATGGTAGGAAGAAAGCCACAAATCATCCATAACCAGCCCCGAGATCAAAATACATCCCTTTGTGATAGCAGCATCTTTTCTACTAGAATGGGCTTCATTTCGACTAATTAGATAATAACTGGTCCTTATCTTAAATCATCAGCTTTCTGTTCAGAGATGCCAAAAGTAAAGCTAAGTAATTGTGCCACTGTAAACCATTGATCTGCTCCACAGCTGCTTTGCTGCAGGTGCCTGCAATCAGAGTCCGAGTCAGTCTCAGGTCATGGGCTCTCCAGGTGGACAATGGCACACAACAAACAAACTAAACACACCCTCGACTGGATCAGAACAGAACACTGAACTACTGACATCTGTGAGCCTTGATCTAAATCCGCTTGAACATTTGCAGAAGGAGCTGACACATGAAGCAACGTGAGCTGGCACTTTTCAAAGCAACGTCTGAACTTTTGTGTTGATTCAGTAATTATCAGGGATTTTTCTTTGACGGAACTATGTTTGATACCAATATCCAATATCCAGATATAGTATACAGTTTTAGGTATAAGTAACGCCACATTTATCATCATCATCATCATCATCATCATCATCATCATCATCATCATCATCATCATCATCATCATCATCATCATCTTTATTTATATAGTACTTTCCATCTGCCTCACAGAAAATTCATCACTGACCCAATCAATGGCCAAAAATCAAACAATATACATAAAAATAAATAAAAGCAGGAGATAAAAGCAAAGAATGTTGGTAAAAAGATGGAATAAGTTAAAAACAACTGGAAGTATATCATTTATACTTGTACTTTAGGAAACTGTATCATTGCAAAATTATTTTTTGAGTTAAGCAATGGGCAAACATATCTGAATCAGCTGATTCACATTATCCTTGATATAATCTTGACCAGTCTAAATGGCCCTCGGCCTATTGTATTTGAGTACCCCTGGTCTAGACAAACGCCAACTACACAGAACAGATTTCTAATTGTTGCCAATTTGTGCCAAACTGCAGCACCCATCTGGTGGCATTATGAGGGAAAAATATGTGGGAACGAGATAGTTAACTTGCGGGATATGTAATCCAGTGCTCAGCGTTCCTGAAAGGATCTCCCATTAAGAGCCTAAATAATTTTACCAAGAGGTTCTTTTAGACATTAGTGACTAAATGTGTGTATTGAATCTAATAACTCAGGCCTGGTCTTTGTCTTTCAGCACGATGGACAGCAGCACTACATGATGTGCCCTGTGACCGTCCATCGGTCAATCACTTGACATGCCTGCTTTGTCATTGATCTAAAGGACTGTCTGCTATGCATTTAAGCCAGCTGCTTAGTAGTAGCAGAAGGGTTTCTGGCAGCCTCACATGTGTAACACAGAGACTCATTAGCCTCATCTATAAGGAGCTGAGATAGTCTCCGACCAGCATGTGTCCTGCTTGCACTTCATCTCATCTCCTTATATCTGAGGCTAATGAGTCTCTGCATTACACCTGTGAGGCACATCACACCTGTGTGTGGCAAATAATTGTTGTGCTCCACCTTCTCTGTTTACTGCCAGTTCAATCACGTTAAAACAGTTTCTCTGAGGAGTTCCGCAGAAGGAAAGAACCAAACTCCGCAAAACAAAGCAGCCAAATATTTAACAAAAACAAATCATGCAAATTAAATAAACCCAGCAAATACTGATTTCCGATTGTGTAACATATACAGGCCCTAACATATCCAAATAAAGACACAAGAGCCTCCCGGAGCTCAGCTCTAAGCAGGAGATGTGCATAATGTTTAAGTACACCAGACCTTTAGGGGAGGATTGTTTTCAGGTGTGCGGCTTTGTGAGTTGTGTCCCAGCATCCAGACACTGTGTAGCACCGCCAAAAACAAGATTACTGCCAGGAACCCTTCTGCTACTACCACATGCAGCCTGCTTAAATGCAGTGCAGACCGTTATTTTAAACACTGACAGAATAAGCATATCAAGTGATTGATGTAGGGATGGTCAGAGGACACGGTTTAAAACTGCTGTCCATGGTGCTGAAAGCGAAAGATCTGTTCCCCTGAGTCATTAGATGATTTCACCACTTGATTAAAACAAATTACCATTATTCAATTAAGTCATCTTCTTTCAATGTCACCAGACAAGCAACAAAAGTATCTCAAAAACTAGACCTCAGATCTGTCACATTTTCACATTTTGAGCGAAAAGAGGAAAACTATGTTTTATGTATATGTGCATGGTAAGTAAGCGTTGTGTAATTAAAAGACAAAAAAGACAATACAGATCATTTTTGATATAGTATTTTAATGTCATTACAGGCTAATAATATTGGACATCAAACAAATCTATCCACATCTGTAAATCATCGGGTGGCTGGATGAACCTCAGCATTGCTCAAGTTAAAGCAAAAGGGTAGAAATGCTAAAGAGGTAGATTTTTCTCTGGGTGGGCCTCCTGGAAAATGATTAAGAGCTGCTACCTAATTCACTTGGCTATAATACAGTTCATATAAACAGTTTCTGTAAATTGAATCTCTCAGAAAATGTATTTGGTTCTGGATGGCAACAAAAAGCTCCATTAAGGTGAAACATTTCCCAGCTCTGGGATGAATAGTCAGATGGTTGTGGGGGTAATAAGATACCTTGCCATTAACGGTAAAATCCGTTTTTGAAGAATGCGTTAGCCGCTGATTCTGAAAGAGAAAATCACCTCGGCTAATGAGAGACCGAGAAGATGTTTAAACTCCTATAAGTCGAGTGCCAACCTAAAAATAACTTTTCCTGGAGAACAGAAGCATAAATTCATATGAAGAGAAAAGCACTTCTCTTATATATATAAACGCTGTGTAGAGAAATTAATTTCATTATGGCCATTTTCAGAGAGCTCCAGGCCTGTTCAGCAGAATGATGCATACTAACTGTTTCCCTTGTATGAGCATGTACCTTTAATATGTACTAAAAACTAAAAAATCTTATGTCAGTTTTATTTCAGAGCGATCAGCAGAATGGGAGGTGGAAGCCGGGCAGGGAAATGAAATGTCGCCATGAGGGACTAGATTATTTATTCAGCCTTTCATTTAAAAAAAAATGGCAACAGTAGCTCGCTCCTGCTGCGGTGTATACGGCAACTCCAGACGCTTGGAGACATTTCCCCCCACAAAGACAGCTCCTTCACTGCCCGAGACTCGTCACTCAGCAGAGAGAGGCAGCTACAGGAGCGAAGGACGACATGTCGCATTGCTTACCGCAGCAAAAGCCGGCAACCAGAGGATGCTCCTACGTACTAACAAACATCCCACTGACTTCTTGCTGATACACTTTGTTAATAATAATAAAATAATAATAATAATAGTACATTTTATTTCAAGCGCCTTTCAGAGCTCTCAAGGTCACTGTACAAGACAAAATATAAGGAACAGCAAGCAATACAAACAACAAGAAATAAGTGCTAAGAGTAATTCCCAAGGGTAGAGTCAGAGCAGTACAATGGATAATAGACTAAAAACAGTAGATGGAAGGAGGACAGTTACAATGAGTAAGCCAGGCGGAACATATGAGTTTTGAGTTGAGACTTGAAGATTCAGAAAGAGTTTATATTGTGGAGGTTAAGCGGTAGAGTGTTCCAGAGTTTTGGAGCTGAGTGGCTGAAAGCTCTGGCTCCCATAGTACAGAGACGAGTGCGAGGAACAGACGGGGAAGGTGAAGATGATGATCAGAGAGAGCGAGTGGGAGTGACAATGTGGAGGAGATTAGAAAGATAAGCGAGATTATGGATGGCTTTAAAGGCATGAAGAAGTATCTTATAGTCAATTCTGTATTTGACAGGGAGCCAGTGAAGTTGTTGCAGGACAGGGGTGATGTGATCAAAAGTGGAGGTCTTAGTGATTTTCCAGGCAGCTGAATTTTGGACTAACTGTAGCTTGTTGAGTGATTTTAGAGGGAGACCGGAGAGGAGGGCATTACAGTAATCAATGCGACTGGTGACCAGGCTGTGGACCAAAATAGCAGTGGAGTACTGACTAAGGGAGGGGCGGAGACGATAGATATTGCGAAGATGAAAATAAGCAGTTTTTATTGTGTTGTTAATATGACGAATGAAGGATGAGGTGTTGTCGAAGATGACACCCAAGCTCTTAGCTTTGGCGGTGGGGAGAAGTGTGGTGTTGTAGAAGCTGAGTGAGAATGAACTGGTCTTAGATGGAGATGACTTGGTGCCAGTGAGGAGGATCTCAGTCTTATTGCTGTTGAGCTGTAGAAAGTTAGAAGAAAACCAGGATTTGACTTTTGTGAGGCAACTGAGAAGGGATGATAAAGGGAGCGGGGGGTTTGTTTGGGTAGAGAAGCAGAGCTGGGTGTCATCGGCGTATCAGTGAAAATGAATAGTAAATTTCCTGAAGATATTGCCAAGTGGGAGTAAGTAGATTATGAAGAGAAGGGGACCCAAGACTGAGCCCTGAGGAACTCCAGAGGTAACTGGCTTGGGGTTAGAGTGGAAGGTGCGCAGTTGGACAAATTGTGTGCGATTAGATTAGATTTGAACCAATTTAGAGGAGTTTTTGAAATGCCGATGGTGGATAGTCTATGGAGTTGAACTGTGTGTGAGATGGTGTCAAATGCTGCACTGAGATCAAGTAGGATGAGGATGGAAATATGGCCAGAGTCTGCGGCTAGAAGGAGGTAGTTTGTGATTTTGATCAGAGCCGTTTCTATGCTGTGGTGGGGGCGGAAACCAGACTGGAAGACTTTGTAGAGGGAGTTGCTGGATAGATGAGAGTGTAGTTGGTAAGCAACAACTTTTTCAAGTATCTTGAACATAAATGGTAAATAGGAGATGGGGCAATGGTTTTTGAAATTGTTGGGGTCTGAGCCGGGCTTTTTGAGAAACGGGGTTAGAGCTGCACCCAAATGGGAATCTATCATTGTTTTTGTGAGGTGGCAGAAAAACACAGAAAAACATGGATTTACTTCTTTTTCCGTGTTGTTTTTGGGAGAAGCCGTGAAAAAGAAAAGTGAATGTCGATGCAGGTCACAATATTTGAATTGTTGTTGGCTCAACTCTTACGGGTGTCATATCCCAAGCTGTGAGTGCAACTTGTCCAACTGGCTTGTGACCTTAGCACTTTGTCAGCTGTTAAATTCCGACTGTGCAGCTCTCGAGTTCGAGTGGCAAGGAACAAAAATACTTGCTTTGTGCTGACTGAAAATCTAATTTAACTTCCATTTCCTCCCTGTTGAACCAGAGAACTTGATTATTTGCCAATGCAGTCAGAAAGGGAAAAAATACACCTCTCTGCATAAAGGTTATAAAAGATCAGGACCTCACCTGCTGCACCCATTCACACACGGGTTTTAGAGAAGCAGCATTTACATCCTTTGGTACATGTGGGCTTGCTGCTATCTCAAAGTGGTTTCACTCTCTAGAATGTGATGCAGAATCTTGTTTCATTATTTTGTAAACCCTCATACTACAGCCAGTTTACCTTAGCAGGTTTAATTAGACAGAAATGTGAAGAAATACCTTCCATATTTGGTCTTTGGAGGCACTGGGAATTGACATTTTTCAGCAGATGGTGATTTATAGAATTGTAAATAACCATAAACATCCTAGAAAAAGCCACATAATGATTTGTTTTTTGTGTAGAAGTTATACACAGTTGAAATTGTGCCTGTGCCTTGTCCGCAGATATCTTCCAAAACAGACTCTTTTGGAGAAAGTCACCTTCCTTTAGATCTAACAACTCAATGAAGAGAATGTTTCACCATGTTGTTAAAACAGACTTTTAAGTTTCATATAACTTTATTTCATAAACCTTGTAGTCCATTTCAGATGGCAGATTATTTAAATGGAAATTTATGGTGATGTAAAAGTGTAAAAACCACCAGCAGCAGCTAAATGTGGTTCTCATTCAGACAAGCCTTCCAAATGGATCCAACTCTGAAGTGTATTGCTTTCATCTAAAAACAGCTCTGATCATCCACCTTTCAAATGAAATGTATTATTCTAAAAATCTTTACATGGTCTTCAGCTTTGTCCTGCATGGTGTGTTTGGCAGAAATATTGAACTAACTACTAGACTGAACTTGTTGATGCACCAGACAAGTCTGGATTGCTGCTTTAAAGGAATAAACATAACAGATTTTCCCTTTTCAAGAAGCATTTATGATTTATAGAATCTACAAAGTGATAGTCTGACCCTATTATGTGATGTAACGTTGGCGATGCCTCCCACAGAGTCCCATCATAGAGTCCCATGCGATGTTACTTCACCATCTGTCAGCATTAGCCAATACAGTTAGACATCCGCTCACACATAGACGTCGATCATAGAGCGTCCGCTCGCGCTCTTGTGGGCGTACCTGGACTCAGCATCGTTTTTGATTTGTTTACAAAGACACGGTGAACCAAGGAGCGGTTAGAAACACCTTCAGAGTCACAAAAATACAGATTCCGCGACCTCCTGATTCCACTCTAAAACAGACAAAAGTGCTTCAAAGATCGGCAAAGAATTGACTTAGGACCTGTTTTTCAACACTGGAAAGATCTTGGTTCAAATCGAATTGATGTGGACTGGAGTTGGTGACATTTTAATAGGGACAAGTAAGTCTTTACATCTGTATATAAAAGGAATTATTTGTAACTTTTACACAGAAACACAATTCAAAATATCTCTTTAGCATTGCTTTAGTGCCCAAATGCAGTTTTACATGTTTAGCAAAGTCTCCGGTCCCTTTCGCTCCATGACATGGAAATCAGAAGAGCACATAGTAAAGCTGTGCAAACAGGTGACGGATATGGTTTCAACTAAAAATGGAATACCCATGAACACATTGGTCCATGAAATCAAACATCAGCCAATGAGTAGATGATCTCTACGCCTTGTGTGTAAACGTCAGCATCTACTCCAGCAAATGTCAGGAGGGGAAGTACAACTACTCAAATATATTCAGAGTCAGCTTCAGAACTAATAAAGTCCTGTTGAGGCTGTGATCACACGTACTTATCAGAAAAAACAAAACACCAATTATGGACCCAACATTTCCAGCTTTGATTGATGATGATGATAAAATCCTCAGCTGTGAAAATGTCAAAGTAAAATATCAAAGAGAAGTATTTTTTTAAATAATATAAGTAAGACGTGGCGAGTTTTGTAAACAGTGATGCACAAAATAAGTTGAAATGGTTTGTAAAACTCACAAATCTTGCTTGCACACATGAAAAAGGCAGCCACTGGCAGCAGAGATAAAAACAGCGTTTGATGATTAATTAATAAACGCAAACTGAGGGAGAAACTCACCAAACAGTGATGTAGTCGTAGATGGGCTCTGTGTTGATCACAGAGAAGTTTATGTAGATGCCATAACCTGGAGGTACTCTGACGGTCCACATGCAGTCCTGGAAATGTGGGTACTCAGCAGGGTGTCCAGGAGAATAAATGGTGCCGTTCATAGAAGTTATATTCCCACCGCAAAGAGCTGAAGGGAGGGAGAACAGTCAGAAATGAAAGCTAAAAATGGATAGCCACTTTCCTTCAGTTATAAAATCGTCTTTACGGCTGTATCGCCTCTAACTGCGGATAAAACAAACCATAACAGCGTGTCGTTGGTTTATCACACAGACGCTGGAGGGATGATGCACCTGTTAGATGCCACAGCTCCGGATGATTGCAGGCTGCTGAGAACTTGATGACCCAAACGGTTTGGAAAATAAAACTCCCTGTCGTAGCCTCTTCACATTGTTATTGTGTGACTTTGATCCCTGAGTCAAAGCTGAAGCACAATTACAGCATTGTGAACTCTCCAGATTTGCTAGCGTGTGAGAGAAGCCAGAACTAAAACTGTTTACCTGGTCCCAAAACATCAAGAACTCATCATCTGGACCTGGGACTTTTGTTGCTGCCACATTTGTCTGACAGTCAGCTGTTCAGCACTCTGCAGCGACATCTAAGAGGGCTTTTCTTTTAGATTTACAGAAAACTAGAGCTGCTTTGGTTTTGCAAATGCCTCATGAATCATTATAAAGGGCTGCATGGGTTTGTGTCTGAGCAGCATTGTGTCACGTTGTTGGTGAGTCAGAAGGACACAACTACAAACACAAATAACAAACCGTTGTGTTTAGAGAAGAGTTTTTATGTGGATCACGCTGATAAGAAACACATCTCATTATTCCCTTCACTCACACTTCTGGTAGATTGCATGACATTTTCATGTTTTTCTAAATATTTTAACACCTCAATTATGGGAAAATCCACATTAAAGGTTATGGCAGGAGTAAAAATCACGATGTATTAATAGTGTAAACTGAGATTATTGAGAGTTCTGGTGGTCACAGTTAAAAAAAATCTCTTTAATGCTCGTGTGTGTGTGTGTGTGTGTGTGTGTGGGGGGGGGGGGGGGGGGGGGGGCTCACCTTCACAGCGGGGGATGGGGTGATTCCAGTTTCTGCTGACTCCATGCAGACACGTGAGTGATGGCTCGCCGAGTAGAGTGTAACCTGGCAGGCACTCAAATGAGACCGTCATGCCCACGCTGTAGTCCTGACCGATCACAATGCCGTTTTGGAACGGACGTGGGTCGGGACACCGCTGTAGCTCATATGCTGGGGGGCAGGGTCAAATCAAACATTTTGATTATATTTACTTTCTATTCATAAACTAAATAACTATGGGAGCAAAGTGAAAGTCTATTAATAATTCTTGAAACAAAACAAAATCAGAAAACAAAATTCATTTCCGAGGTTTGTACTTGTTAAAGGGGAGTTTTCCTCTCCACTGTCACTACATGCTTTCTTATTATGGGGATTGCTGTAAAATCATCAACACAACAAGTCAGTGACTCGATCCAAACTGCTGGGTTTCCCTATATATGAAAATTAACTAATGAACTGAACTCAATTGGAATGTCTACTTAGTAATTTTCCTTGCCTTGTGTTGCATGTTTCTTGATTCCCGACTCTTCCCTCTTTTTCTGCTACAAAAATAATTAAATAAGTAAAAATCCTGCTCCTCACCCTGGTAGACAATGTGGAAACCAGGCTTGTTCTGGGAATAGTCGCTATGGAAGAAGAGAGTGGTCTCGTGGGTGGTGCTGAAGAGAGAGCTGGGCACCATGGGGCCGCTGAACCGATCAATCACTGTTCCCGTCTCCAGGGTCCCACTGCGCACTTCCAAATAGTCATGAACAGGCTCTGTGGAGAAGTTGAGAAACTGCAGGTGGATCCCTAAAGTGTAGAAAGGAAAAGTAAAGATCAAAATGACTGATTGTGTAGGTTCCCTTACAGTACTGCACTCTGTAGGCCAGTGTGTGTATGAGACTAGGAAGCTATTCTTGATTAAAATATAAATGCAAATGCCAGCGACCGAGTGACGGCCACTGGTCAGCCAACCAGAGCCCGTTAGCGGTTGAACTTTTAAAATATGGTGTGTGTGTGTGTGTGTGTGTGTGTGTGTGTGTGTGTGTGTGTGTGTGTGTGTGTGTCTGTGTGTGCGCGCGTGTGTGTGTGTGTGTGTGTGTGTGTGTGTGTGTGTGTGTGTGTGTGTGTGTGTGTGTGTGTGTGTGTGTGTGTGTGTGACACTCTTGTCTGAGCTTGCATATGTGATGAGGGGCAGAAACAAGTGCACCAGGGTCAAAAATTCAAACTAAAACAGCCGTTCATCAAATATTCATCTTCTGTTCTGATCCAGCAACTTCCAGGGGACTGTCAGCAGAGTCAAGGGTCGTAGTTCGTGCTTAGGATGCCATAGGTCTCTGCATAAAATCCCTCATTTATGAACCAGCTAGAAGGGCTCATCAAAAAATGGAAAAGTGTGAAGTTTTACCAAGTAAATGTCTGAGTAGAGGTGTGGAGTCACAGAGCCTCTCTAGTCACTGGTGTTACTGTTTTGCTTTTGCTTTCTTGCCTAGTCAGTTTAATGTACTAACATTTAGTTGTTTTTTATTCTATTCGTGTTTTGAATTTTGCCATTCATTCATTTTCATCTGCATCCAGAGGATGTGGATTTTACGAGCTTTAATTTTATTTTACTGTTGTAATTTTAAATGAACTTCAGTTTTAATATGTTCAGCACTTTGGGCGACAGTGTTGTATTTAAAGTGCTCTTTAAATAAACAAGACTTGACTTGACTTTAGTCAACTCAAACAGCAAGCTCTGTGAACTGTCTCAATAACCTGACAGAGCTGGTAAACTACCATGACTACCGTTTCTAAGCATTAAAGGGGTTCTGGAACAACCCCCTTTACAACTGGGAACTGTTCTTTGAGCCTCTTTACAGCAAATGAAATGTGGTTGTGGTTCACAATGATCCAGGAGCCCTGATGGATGTGTGTGCCTGAGTGGACTGAAGATCTCATGACATGTCATTGCATCTTCACTCAGACTGAACCAATTCTCCGTGGCCATTTCAATATTACAAATGTAACGTAATGAAATGACTGTTTTCCACCTAAAAGTCATTTCCCCCCTCTCCTCTGCAAGAACTAATCTGCATGAGATATTGTTCAAGGTCTCATGCATCTGCTTCTAAACTGTTTTCCTTTCCAGCGCAAGAGAAGAATGAAGACAAAGGACTCTTTCTTTTTAATAAACCTGAGAATTCTATTTTTAATAAGCTAATCAAACAAAGTGTTAGTCAATAAAAAATGTGAACCAATTTGTGAAATGAAAATATTAATTACTTGATATTATAATCCTATAGAATATAATAAGTAATATAACTTTAAATGTTTCCACTAGAGACTGATTACACATAGTTTTAAGAGATGACACATTGCTTTTACTGATCCAATAAGAATATTCCAGATCTGACAGAGGTGTGGTTTTGGTGGTGTTTGGTAAATATGTCATCTTTTCATTCGAGCGTAAATCAAAACATCCGAATTATAAAACTATGCCCACGTCATCTTTAACGCGAGTTCAAAGCTTTCTAGAGAAGTTGTCGGAGTGGCCAATCCGTAACTTTCCTCTTCAGCCAAATGAACCAAAGACAAGCTGAATAAATCTGTTGCTGTTCCAACTGCTGCAACGGTTCCTTTCAGAATAAAAGCTGAACCATCACGACCCCGTTTTAGGTCTCGCTAGATGCCAACAAAACTGTCGTGACCCGGAAGTATCTCAAGACTGGTCTGGTCGGCAACGCTGCTTTTCCTACCGGTTTCAGTTCCAGAGAAGGTCAAGCTGGACCTCGGCATTCCTGATCTAACAGGGACTTCCGCAAAGGGAATGTAGGCCGACAGAATGGCATCTCAATGTGTGTTATAAATCTCCAAAGCAAAAAGATTAGTGCAAAGACATCACCTTCACTCCCATCAGAACTAATTGTTTCTCTGGATCTGCTGGTTCTGAAATATTCACACATACACCATTCTCAGTCTTATCTCACCTTAGTTACACCATACACCTAGTATTAAAGTTAGTCTAGTTTTAATTTGTTTAGTAATACATCTTTAAATTTTTAAAACTTGACTCACTCTCTTTTCTTGAAGTTAATATGAAGTGTTGCTCAATCCCTGCAATAAAAAGATCCAATCTTCTGATGAAATTTACTTGAAGATCCATGAAGGTGATATTTCATATTTTATGGTTTCTAATTAAATGTAGGAATTTCTTCGCCACACAAATGTATGTTGGAAGGCAGTTGGGCGAGGCCGCAGACTTATGGGCTGTTAACAACAACAACAAGGTGAATGTGGTTTTAAATTTCTGGAGCCCGTATAACACACCCAGTAACACTGACCCACTGAAATAATAAATTCAGGTGAGTCTGTCAATTAAACCAGTTAACAAATTAATAAGCTACACACACTTCACCTTTTCATCAACTAGATTGATCACAGATAGAGAATAACCTCAACCCAGAAGGAAGGAAGGAAGGAAGGAAGGAAGGAAGAAAGGAAGAAAGGAAGAAAGAAAGAAAGAAAGAAAGAAAGAAAGAAAGAAAGAAAGAAAGAAAGAAAGAAAGAAAGAAAGAAAGAAAGAAAGAAAGAAAGAAAGTTCGGTTTGGGTACAGACCGAAGCCAATGGGGAGCTGAACTCTCCAGGTGCAGTCCAGGCTGCTCTGGTAATTCCCAGGAAAGCCGGGGCTGAGGATGACGCTGCTGAAGTCGGTCATGGAGCCTCCACACTGAGCTGAGGGAGACCAACCGAGGAGAGAACATGTCACTTCTCCACAGCGCGGGGAAACAAGGAAAAACAATGACTGGGAGACTGAATGTGTGTGTGTGTGTGTGTGTGTGTGTGTGTGTGTGTGTGCGTGTGTGTGCGTGTGTGTGTGTTCCTGTAGATGCTGATTGCGTTCCAACCAGAGAAGATAGACACCCATGCTGATTCTGTGTGCTTGCCTAATTTCCAGTGTGTGTGTGCTCCGTATGGTCGGAGCTCATCTTTGACTTTTGCCTGAACCTCTCCACTGGCCGGGTGGATGATGCTCCATTGGAGCGTTCATGCAAACGTGGCAGATTTGAGTGCATTTCTTGTTTGATGGTGCTTTAAATCACAATAAACGGGAGTCGATATTCACACTTTTTGCTTGGCGATGGAAGTGATTACTTCGCCCTCTCTCCCCCTCGCTCTTTTATTTGAATGTGTCTTGGAGAACACTTCTGTGAAGGTTATGCTCTTCTCCCTCTCCCATGACACATCTCTAGTTTTAGAAGCACAGATCATTCTATTAGCTGCTGTATCGACCTTTATCACACTTCTTCATTTTTCACCAGGAACTGATGACAAAGGGTAACGAAGGCCCTGAGGTGGCATCTGCTGCATGTTTATGTGGCTGAAAGTGTTCAAGAGGGAAAAAAAGTTGCCTCCTAAGCGTGTTCCTCTAACTGTTTCAATGATGTAGGAAGGCAGGGCTGAGTCACAGAGTAGTTTTACCCTTTTAACTCATTCACTGCCATTGACGACTAAAGTTGTCATTTTAGATCCAACCATTCACTGCCAATGACAACTAAAGTCATCATTTGCATTTTTTTATTGTTTGAGCATCAGAACATCAGAATGAGCCCCTGCGCTGAGAGAACAAACATCTCAGCCCTGAAGCCGATCTTCATCCGTATACGTCACACGTCACATGATCAGGAAGCAGACCATCCATGTATTAGGAGATCGTTTTGGGCCGTTCCTGTAAAAAAGGTGACGCGCAAATAGGAAAAGCGTCTGTCGATCACAAATCAACAACGGATTATGAAAGAACAGATAACGCTCGAAACCCACGGATTCTTCCTGATGTAAGAGGTGAGTCTCTGCTTTGTTTTGGTTGTTTGGCATTGACATCATGCTAGCGCGCAACGTTCTGTGACTCTTAAAAAAACAGCGAAAACGGTGAGAAACGCTGGCAGCGAAGGCCGTTAGCGATCAGGAAACGGCTGGCAGTGAATGAGTTAAAGATAAAATGTTGGTATTTTGGATTAACTACGTTACATTTGATATTATTATTTCAGACTTAAATTTGAATTTTGAGTATTTTTGTTCTTTTTCTTAACTTCATATTATTTGTAATTGCAGAAAACAACAACCCATCTTTAGCATTGGTCCCTGTTGACCTGTCTCACCTCAGCACTAGAGGCAAAAGGTAATGCATCTTCTGGGGAGAATTAAGATGGATAAAAGACAAGGCAACACTTCCTCCCGGAAGATGTTTGTCTGATGAAGCCTTTTTGCCTGGAACTGAATTTTCCAACTACGAATATAAAAGAGCAAACATGGGAATCTTTTCTTCACTGAATGAAAAAAAAAATATTCTGGCACAAATCAAACAGATCACGATGAGTGCCAACCAAGCCACAGGTAAGATTAAACTGAGGAGAAATAAAATTAAATAAAAAATTACTGTAGATTAATTCTAATGAGACAAATCTTTAAAATCCCACAGCAAAAGGCTGGATTTAGAGGTAAGGAGTCAAAGATACAGAAGAGCACCATGGAGAAACAACTGAATCTGATTAGATCTACAAGTTAATAGTCTGAGTGGTGCAACGCTGTTCTCTAAAACATGACAGAAGTTAATGTGAACGTTACTTTATGAACTCCACCGTTCATTAAACCATGGATTCAACATAGCATGTTCCTGCTGGAGACCGCTGCTGCTGGTTGGAGTGCAAACACCTACAGAAATAAGTGAAAAGCTGTTTTCAAAAACGGTTTCCTGTGAAACATTGAGAGTAGAGTTGTTATAGGAGAATAAAACCCTCCACAGTCAGTGAAGTTATACTGGAAACCAGTTCATGCAACACCTACGGGGCTTCTGGCTTTTGTGATAAAGGGTTGTTGCTGCTGTTTCTTTAGGGGAGCATGGACCAGAACCAGAATTAAATAAAGAGAAACTAATTAGAAAAACTAAGCTAGTGGTGGCATCCTACTTGACCTAGTTAGTTGGTGAAATTTCCAAGTGAATACCGAGGCACTTTTTAAGTACACGCTAGTGTTTCTGGGCTCCCCCAACACTTTGATGTCAGTTCATAAGCAACAAAGTGGATCCTAATTGTGGGTGAGTTAATGCACATTCAACAAGCAAGGAGTTAAACTAGTGAGTGAACATGTGCACTAATGAACACGCCAGTCAGCTGCAGCGCTGGGTTTTTATGTCCGTGGATAACTGTGAAGACCACAGGCACAGAGCATGAGGAACGCAGCATGCAAGGATGCAGTTACAGCCACTCAAAGGGTGTGTGTGAAGGTCTGTGTACATCAGGGCAGAAAAACCAGGAGAGAGAAAGTGCTTCCTTTGTTATCTTACAACTTCATCTCTGTGGCAATCCAACATCACAGGAAGCTTCTCGTCAGAACTCCGACAACAAATTGAGATGACGAGAAGTCTTATTGATTTAAAGTGAAAAGCAGAAATCATTCCTTTCTCCAAATCATATAATGCATTTGTTCTTCTAATACGACACAAATCCATTCGCAGATGTATTGTGGGGCTGTGTGTGAGTAAAACTGTAGAGTGACAAAAAAAATAATAATAAAGTGAGTAGAAGAAAGGTTACATGTGTCAACAAGAGGAGGGGGATGTGAAAATGTAATAACAGAGACAGAGTGTGTGTTTGATGCTACTAGAGAGGTGTACAGCACGAGGAGACACGTTACTACCTATGCACAGAGGTACGGGGTAGTT